TGAGGTTTTTGTAGCTCGCAACACATGTCTATAGTATATAGTAGTTACTTGTATGTCTCCCTCCAAACTCTTTATAATGTACGAGTACCTGTCCAGTGTATCTAATGTATACTATAAAACTACTTTAAAAATGTTAAATTAGTCCTTGGCCATTTTATAGTTTTGAATATAATTGATACAGATACTTGATTATGTAAACACCGACCAAGAAGTGCTATCTAAAATCAAATACTTACCAAATCAGTAGAAAAATAAAATGATTTTGTAATTATATCACATAGTTTTTTTAACAAAACTATTATAAATTTTGGCCAGAAATGAAATGTTTTATAAGTATTATTTTCAAACGATCGTTAGAATATTCTAATAATTATCAAAATTATAATAAAATAGTTATAATATGTGTTATAAAAACATTTTGTAATTAATAGTTGTAAAACATTAAATTTCTCGACAAAAATATTAAAAAAAGTGTTAAAAAACTTCCTGATAACATTATTATTTGATGACTGCCGACTAATTACCATTAATAATGATACTTTTTCTATTTAAAAAAAAGGGGACTTGTTGAAACTTTACGAAAAAAAGTAGAATCACTTCCAAATTTAATGTAATATTCGTTTTGATGTATTCCTAACGAATGTGGTCAAACACTGAAAAAATATCAATTCATTTACCCCCCCCCCCCCACACAAAAAAATGGAAATTGTAATGGGTAGTTTTAGGTTTGAAAAGTTGACTGAATGTAAATCTAGTGTGTACCTAAAAATATTATTAATAGATGTGCATACAAAATTGATGTAAGCTTATCGGTGGTACCTATACGGTTCTTGTTGATTTTTTAATTTGTACCAGGTACCTACCTACTATCCCATTAACGATGTAGATATATAAAATCACTGTTAGGTATAAATAATTTAATACTCGGGGACACTACTGAATATATATGTATTTTGTTCAAACGTCAAATCGTACTCTGTCGAGGATTTAGAATAAGGTTAAAACCTGAACTCAATTATTCATTCTAAATAATGCCAACGTTCGATATTAAAACACTTTATTATACCTATATATTTGATCCTACGATTTTAGTGTACAAAACTTGCATGTTGTTATATTAATGTTTCTGACAGGAGCCGTCTAAAAATCAATAACCTTAATAATATGTAACATATTATAATAATATACCGTCAGTTATAGTAGATATTAATGCTATAAAATATATTATATGACCTTGCGTGAAATATATTTAAGAAAACCAATTGTCTTGTCTCGTACAAGGTGTTGGCGGAAAATGACAATAATAAAAAACATTATCATGTATTCACAATTATGGAAAGTTTTTTAACTTATAATAATAAAATATACTCATTCGGTGCACTGATTTTCGCACCTGCAATATTTTTTACTTACCTTTCATATACGTATGAATTGAGCAATAAAACCGAGAGTGATACCACAAGGTTATGCGAATGATATATTTTTTTCACACGTTAAAATAATGTTTTAGTGAAATATCAAATAATTGCCAACTTCACAGAATTCTAATTATTATTCATATTTTTTTTTTTTTTTTGAGTAAAACATATTATATTATTATATTATTTATTATAAAATACATATATTAGTATTATACAAATATATATATATATATATATTATGTTTACTCAAACCTAAAACCACATCTTCGAAAATACTTTTATACCATAAAATGTCATAATTTACTATAGGTACAAATTTCAATATGTAAAACAATTTTAGTTTTAGGTAGGTATTATAATTCTTTGCTAACAGTTTTTTTAAATTATTTTCGATGCAAAATATTTGTAACATATAATATACAAAGTATAATGATTGTCATACAATATCTTTACGTTTAAACATTGTTGCATTTGTTACATAAAAGCTAATACAAATTAGTTTGAAAATATTTATGATCGAAATTTTATTCAAATATTTTCTATTTGTTTTATGTAGGTTTGATTCAGTGCAAAAATGTTATATTTACACAATGCAAGTTTATATCACATTAAAATATGTACTTAGTAGTAAACACTATTAGATACACTCAAGAATTATGCTGAACGTCATTGATAAATAATTGTTGATAATAAATAAATAAAGATTAGATTTTCTTTCATATATTATGCCTGTATAATATATTATATTATAATAAAGTATACTATATAATATATAATACTAGTGGTAAGGGTAACAATATTATAATTAGCTTAATGTTCAAATCGTGTGTGATCTATTGACGTACATGCTGTTATGTTTTAACATGTGTTAATAGTAATTATAACTATATATATTATTATTTGTATCAGTCCTTTATATTTTAGTATGTAAGTATTTACGTAAGTTGTCTGTAAACATCATTTTCAACAGTAAGTAATAAAAAAATAGCTGACAAGGGAGCACCTTTATCGTGGTAATTCAGAATCATCAACACTTGCTAATTAGCTCGATATTGTTTACTAGTCGTGGTTTTAAATTATCATGTAGTGTTTGTTTTTAGGTATACAAATTTACATATAATTTGGTAGTTTATTTTATAAGTGGGAAGACTGAGAACTCGTGTGAAACGTTTTCACTGCATGTTGTGTACCAAGAAACTAAGGGGGAGATAATTTAATATTGGACATTAAATTAGTTTTAAGTATAATTATTGTTTGTTATAGAGTTTACGTGATAATACACTAAGCAAAGTGTACAATTCATTTTTAAGGGTGAACTAGACAAAAATGTAATTAAATTGAATTCAGAAAATTTAAATAATTTACATGGAAGCTACCTGATAACTACATTAAATTTAATTTTTTATTAATTTTAAATAAATTGTTATAAGAACTTCGTACATACAGTTCATAACCCAGAGAACAATTTAACTGCAGATATATATAATAGCTTAATAGCTACTAACTGCATGTGCTGAAAAGGTAAGTAGTATTTTACAAAAGAAGCAACTAATTCATTCTACCTTATTATTGACTAAACAATAAGCATTAGATACCTAATGCTAATTTAATAACAGAAACAATAAAAAAATATGCACAATTTAGGTTCACTGATATAAAAATTGCACTTGGATTTTGGAATACTTATAAAAGAATTAACGATGGACGTTATTCCATTTAAACTAAGTTAGTGATCAGTGATCACATTATTAGGCCCTATAAATTATATTCTAGATAAAACGTTTAAAAACAAAATTATTTGTTTAATAAAATTGTATACTAATATTTATATTTTATGTCTATATGTAATTTATAAATTATAAAAACAGTATGAAAAAAGAAAACTTATAGTCATGATTCCGATGTATAGTAATATGTGGGAGAGAGTTTTTTGAAAGACACAATTAGTTTGGACATATCAGCATGGGTCTAAATTTGATCAGTTCGCACAAATTAACTCTCTCCCACACACTAAGATTTTCGCGTTATCTGATTGTAATTTACATAGCTATGTTATGAGCGGTCAATTAAGTTTTATTGTCAATGTATTATATTATACTTTCGCGAAATCCATGCTTTGCAATCCGTATGTTAATATAACTACAATATACAAGTTTTACCAAGACAAAATAGTTATTGTATTTGTTATTAGTTGTGTAAACGTAAAGGTTAGATATATCTAATGTCTAGTTGTAAGAAAAAAATAGATTAACTTCTACCGTAGCAAAAACCGAAATGGTTAAATATATTAAACAATAACTGAGGTTTTCGACTGGTGTTCTTAAGGAATACCTATACCCAAAAAATTAAAGAAAACAATTTTTGTAAAGTTGAAATGGCATGTAAAAAAAAAAAAGGTTTAGGTATTATGTTTATTTTTTGTCTCCATTTCAACAAATAATGAATTATTTTTTTAATTCTTGACCATACTTGATGTATAATAATGGTTGATCTGTTTGCATCTGAGTACTTTTGGTGAACGAATTCTGATCTAAAATTTATAATCCGTACTAGGTTCATCAACTTGTAATTTTGATAGCTTTTAATTGTTTGTAACTTAATTATCTTTTTGGAATTTAGCGTCTACTGATGCCTTATCTTTAATTTGTATATATATATTATGGGAATTATAATGTCGTCGATTCCATTTACAAATAAGTCAAATTGTATACATACACAATTATGGAATACTTAAAAAGGGGAATTGTGAATATAATTTATTAAGAAGTGATGGGTTTTTTAAAATAAATATTTTTTAAAAAATGAAGATGAAAAAAGTCTATGAACGACGTTTTAAAAAACATTATCGGAGTATAGGTACATTATCTAATACAATTATTATTGTGTGTTGTAAATTAGGAATACCTAGATTGTTTTTGTAAAAAAAAAAAAGGCTATTCACAAAACTTCTTATAATATGGAGTTTACCTTCAAGTAAAAATTGAATTGTTCAATAGGTATATTTTTAAATATTTTTTTTGAATTCTAAAAATTTAGATTTTGCGTAGGTAACCCGTTAATATAAAAATCTTGGGGCAAAATCAATTTGAAAAAATAATTCTAATCTATAGGTAGATGGTAAAAATATTTAAGATCAATACAAAATCACTATTGTGTTCATAGTTAGTTTGATAGTTTTGTTTTTTGGAGGGAGGGGTCTCAATAAAAACAGCTTGACACAATATTATATCATCTAACTAAGTCTAATTTTCAGATCTTAAGTCCTATAAAGGAGTATCAAGTTACAGGTTACTCTTTTCCCTTATCCAGTGGCGTAAGGGAATGTAGGCAGACTGCATTGGGGGCCTTATTATCCAGAAGGCCTTTGTGTCGGTTTAAAACGGCAAAAAAGGGCCCATTCAGAATACTAAAATTCATAATATTTTGCGCGGGGACATCGTAGACAGATCACAGCAGCTGGTGGCGCGAATCGCTGTTATCAGCAACGCTGAAACGCACGTGCATGCCGCGATAATAGATAACACGGGCGGCAACAACGGCACAAGGTTATGGGCAAAAAACCGATACCTTACAAGTTACCTGTAACAACGTAACGTTAATGTTATTCGATTGCACCAGTCGATCGAGCAAGGTTGCGTTTTTCGTTAGTTGTTTAGTGTGTCCATCGTTCTCCCTCTAATATCAATTATTGCGCTTACCCACGCCAATGTGTTACCCATAATACCATTGTCGCTGCCGGTGGTGTTGAACTTGACAAACAAAATAAAAGTGAACGTGCGCGTCTGACGGTAAAAGTAGGTCAGCTTTATGATTTTGAGTTTAACGAGTACTCACAGACGTACACACAACACACAACCACATTGGCGTACTTAGTACAACTGAAGTCTGCAAACTGAATAGTAGGTAGGTACCGGCGACCAATAATTGCTATTGCTACAAAAACTTCTGTAGGACTAGTATTGTTGTTTTTTTTTACTTGTTAACCTTTTGCTATACTCGTGTACCTAGTTAACTTTGGAGCCAGCCAGTCGAACTCGTTCTCCAGCAACCTGTCCGTACTACATTGAAGCCACTACCAGTACCATCATAAGTGTGGCTACTATTAATTATACCCTATAATCGCCAGTGTGTCGATGTTTACCAAGAATAGCGGTCATTACGATTTTAAACGCTCCACCATGAGTGAGTATTTGAAGAAAAAAAAATGTATACCAAATATTTAAGTATAACGGGTTCTAAAAAACTAGACTACTCGACAATTTTATCACTACCTATATTTTCTATCGATAAATGATTCGTTTTGTTTATTCAGTTTTCGTAGAAAAGCGTTAAAATGTTTAATTATAATATTATATAACAAGTACCATTTCTTAAAAATTTTAACTGACTTACTCTAGAGAGAATTATTGTATTATTTAACTGTAATTATTATTTAAATTATTGTTGTTTGCTATTTTAAAATAAAGTGTAAACCTACATAATGATCATTTTAATACATGGCAATCATTTCTTCTGAAAATAATTGCAATTTGTAATTATATCTAAAAGCATTTTAATTTATGTTATTTTACCATATTTATTTTATAATTTTATAATAGTTACCAGCATATAGTTGTAAGTGATGGGAACATAAATGGTACATTTTACATTTTAATCAAAAACAATTTTACAATACATTACCATCAACTATAAAAATAAATTTAAAATATTTTAATTTTGCTCTTCTGTAAATATACTTTTTATTCCTTTTTAATTTTTACTTTATCAATTTACCTAGTCTATATTTTTGTCTGTCTTAGTCTGTTTTAATTAAATACTTAGAAATTCATTGATTTTAAAATAACATATGAGCAGTGCTATCAATGTTAATAAAATAGATAAATATTAGCATTGAATTTAAACTACACAGAAAAACGATAATGTACAAATTAACGGTGACCAAATTTCATCAAGAATTCCTACTGGTTGTCCTCGTCATAGTTTTGACATAATTAATGTTAGAATCCCTTTGACCGACGTATTCTCTATTTTATATTTATAACTGTTAACAAAATAACTGGGCGGAAAAATTAAATTTTTTTTTTAAGGTTGCGTAATTAATATAAGTATTGTATTATGATTTTACTCGTAGTTGTAGTAGTACAATAATTTGACAGTTTAGTGTTGTTAATGAACACTGTTGATATGATGTTCCATTAATACTTGCCCTTCAATATATTAATTAATGACAATGAAATCACTGAAAGGGTAATTTAAATATATCTTTTTCGCTTATTGCTATTTATAATAGTATCAATAAGAATCTTATTAAATAGCTTTGAGTTGGTAAAGAATTTTTTTTTAACACATCTGCATTCCGTTACATTTTCTCTGCGACAATACTTTGACTAGTGCTAAAGTATTTTAATGTAAACCATTTTTTTCCCCGAAGATTATCTTATAATCATTTTTAGCCATTATATAGAATTTTGTTGACAGTAACAATTGTACAGTTAATTAGTTATAATTAAAAATGTTTTAATCGTTTACAAGAAAAGAGTAAAATGTGATTGTATCTTCTATTCCTCTCATGATAGCAATGAAGTAATAAATATGTTTAGGTAAATAGCAGTGGTATATTTTATTCTTAATTTGTATTATACTTACGTAGATAGTACAAAAAAAGGAGGAAGAATATCTTTTCCAAGTTTTATTAATCAGCATAAATTAAAATTGGGTTACGACACAAAAGCTTTTTAAAAATTCCTAATGCAATCCAATTAAAATAGTTGTACAAAGATATCAATTGATTAAAAAATGGTTAATTAAATCCAATGTTTTGATGCTGCCGAAAATGTTTCAACAATTAATTTGTATTATTTTAATTAGAAATATTTTTTGTTATCATCAATACGACAGCTTTACAATGATTCTTTATATTGTAGTGGGCACTGCGGACTCCACCGTTAATTAGTATTATTTTAATTATTTACGGTCAATGCTTATCGTACCGTTCAGTAGTTTTATAATGTGGTGGTATCTCATTCAAGCACTAAAGTTTGTTTGTTGTTTTTACAACTATGTTTTAGAGATAAACCACCGGCTAATTAATTTTAAACATTATACACTGTGATTCAATAATAATTATGTTGCGATTAATATATTTTCTTAAAACGTTGACTTCATTGCACCTATTTTGATGTATTTTCAAAAAAGACACAAGGCCCAAGCTTTCTTTAATGAAATGCATAACACGGTCGGAACCTTTTTGTCAGACCGTTAACTTTTTGAATATTAATTGAACAGAGACTTTTTTTTTTCTTTCGACTTCTATGCATGTGCGTGTACTGTATTTCAATGTGTGAATAATCGGCTCGTAAACAATGACCTTTTGACAGTCAAACTACTACATAAACTGGATTATTCATTGACTATTAAAATACGTTAATTTTTTTTTTTTAGTTACTGCCAAATATTTGAACCAATTGTTGCAAAAAATAAAAAAAAGGTCATTCATATTTGCTTGGTTTTTCTTCGTTGTCCATTTTGGCGTACTCTATTAAATGACGGACAGTGGTTTCGCTGTTTCGCTCAAACAAGTCAAGTGCCGTGTGATAAATGTTTTAGCTTAAAATCTGCGTCATTCGGTTACAATCCTGTTTTTCAAGTGCAATCTCGGGCGGTTCTAGTCTACGATATTTGGGTGGCGAAAATATAGTATTAATTTTCGTTTACTACGTCTACACGTCCAATCGTGTGTGGTTGTTCGCATTTTCACCTTCAAACCGTTTGCCAGTAAGCTTGTTGTAATTTCCCATTAGGCGCCAGAGGTAAGTGTGGCCGTGGCCTCTAAATCGCTGTGACATTCGATTTTTTTTTACAAAAAGCGTACACTTAGAGTATCATTAAATATTAATTGACGTTCATCACCCGAGGAAAAACGCCATTTTCCTATCATGTTTTAGGCCTAGGACTTGCTTACCGACCCGTTTTGGTGTATATCATGACAATACGACGTAGATCTATATTAACGTTTACTTGTTTACTCGCACTGGTAGTACATACCACGTTAAAATACCTTGTTACTGCCGGTTATGTAGATTTTTCGTTTTAATTTGTGACACGTTTGTTTACAATATATTGGATATGCGATAGTGATAAAAATTGAACAAAATATACGTATTACGTTTGTTGAAATTTGTTCATTATCTTAGGTTCCCAAAAACCTAGAGTAAGCTTACAAATAAAATGTTGACAATATGTAAATTGTTTTCCAATTTTTAGTACTACAATATGTTTACTCTTAGGGTTGTTAACTGAATTTTCATTATTTCTTTTATGTACAAAAATAAAAATTGTAATATAATATTTGGGTCTGTTCTGAATTCTGCAGAAATGTATAAAATCAACGTTTAAAATAAATCTAAGAATTATTTTAATGCTTGATGTGTTGAAAATACAAAACTAGTCGTGTTGCACTAAATCTGAAACCAGATTTTAGATTTTGCGATGAAAATGCTTTTAAAACTAATGTATTTTAGTTCTTGTTGCATATAAAACCAAAATCAAATTTTGTTGCACAGTCAGTATTCGTCTGAAATCTGCATAACAGCGTGGTGTAACCATTTAAAGGTTTTAATTTTCTTATTTTTAATTCTACGAATAAAGTCTTTAAAATTCTTTATTTTTTGTTGGGACTTGGAGATTTCTCTATTCCGACTAACTTTCTAGCAAGGACAATAAGGATTTTCAAAATTTTTAAGAACCTCAAACCCAATTTCTTTAAAACAGAATGTATAATATTTGAATTTGTATTTTTAAAATCCCAAAAATTTGGACTTTGCTTACCTCTGCTTATTATAGTTAACTGCATATTTGACGACTCTAAAATATTGTCTTTTGAGATGTTGATTAAGATGAAACAGTAAGTTAGTTAAACTAAGTAAGAATATTAAAACAAAAGTTAGTCCCGTTTATGCACATATGATCAACGTTGTCGTCTCGAGAATTAGGTTAGGTGTATTTTGCCTCAATTATTCGTTTTGTACAAAGATTAGCGTTAATTGATCTAGATTATTATTAGTAGGTACGTCACAGGAGTACCTTGTTTTGTACTCTCTCCGTTGTTTTTGTCTGTATTGTTAGCATTACTTTTTATCATACGTGTTATACAGAGCCTAATTTCTGAAAATGTATTTTGCAAAAGTTCTTTGACAAGTCAAATAACTCGCCTTGGTTATTATATTATATTGTACTCGGGACCTCTACTACTTGTTTTAAACCCATTTCTGCCTAATATAATACTTATACTTGTTAGCCATGGCCGAAATGCTCTTGACTTTTGGTACGGTGTAACTTAGTTGTGTAATTTATTCGACTACATTTAATCGACAATTTTTTAATGACAATGCAATCTGATTTGGCGGCGACCAGTTTTGAACGAGTTGTTCGCGTACGAAAACTAATAGAATTAAGTATTTTATGCATTCGCAATGCTAAATTTCCTTGATCATTTGGCTATATCATTTTAAGTATAGATTCTTTATTTTTTTTTACTAGTAAAATGACTTACTGCAAACTAGTTTCTGACAAGTCAAAATAGTAAGTTGATCCTTTTCTATTTTTTTATATTCAAAATATTATTACCTTGTGCTGTTAATGCTGCGTTTTAAGTCTAAAGTTGAAAGAGAAGTAGCAGTATAAAATAAAAATAAAAAATCGAAACTATTGTGTCATAAAGATTGGGACAAATGTTTAAAAACTTGGATCCATAAAATTATTAAGTAGTTCAGTGTATTATGTGTACTTACTTTGATCACTCTGTACGCGATGTACAATTTATGTGAAATTAACAAAACGATCGTTTAAATTAAAATAAAATGATCTGTCCAGTTAGAGGACGTGATAAACAACTTAATTATTCAACAACTTGTTATAATTAATAATTAGGTACCCGCAATAATAGCGTATTTCATTAAATTTATATGTATGTAAATTCACATATTACAACAAACGTCGAAGAGGTTAATAGCGATTAGATATTGGGTTAAAAAACGAGTATTTTTTTTTTTAAGTGAACTGTACTAAAGGCAATATTTGTGCTGTTTATAAATTATGACCGATAGTTTTTTTTTTAAATAGATTTCCTTTTAATGATTTGTATTTGGCAATTGCTTCTGTTTTTTTTTATTGATATAAGTTGTATAATATAGGTACACGTTATATTAACTTATAATCGGGGTTTTAAAACCTTAATACTACTGTTGTAAATATTTTTACTAGACCAATGAAATGTCTACTAATAACGCAATTTATTAGTGTATTTCTATTATACTTTATATAATTGCCTGCGTCAATTACTAAAAATAAATAAATCTAAACCATAAAAACGTAATTAAGTATTGTTATCAATTCGATTAGTTCGTGTTCATTTAAATTGGACCTTGAAATTAAGAGCCATGCCACAGCTGTCAAATATTACGCTAAATTTTAAAATGTATTTATTTGGTACCTCTGCCTTTTTTTTCAATTGCAGTTTTATAATTTTGTTTTGTTTTGTGTTTAGACAACTTAGACGAAGCGTTGACCCTTATCAAAGCGTCCTTGAACTCCCCTCAAATGGACGTCGAGGGATCCCATTATGATCAAAACATTACCCATTTGATTGTTGTGATGGGTGCATCGGTGAGCAACAGATTTTTCTTTATTTTTCATTGTCTAGTGTGAGAATTTTGATTGATGATTTTTTTTTTTAATGTTTTCAGGGAGATTTAGCCAAAAAGAAAATCTATCCCACGCTATGGATGTTGTTCCGCGACAATTTGATCCCGGACAAAACTTATATTTACGGATATTCCAGATCTAAGTTGTCCATGGATCAAATTAAAACAAACTGCGCACCTTACCTTAAAGTACGATATTTAATTTACCAACGATTGTTATTGTTGTAAAACTAATTAAAATGTTTTGTACATTATAAGTGCAGTGAACACGAAAAAGGACGTCTCGCTGAGTTTTGGTCTTATAATTTCTACCTGAGTGGATCTTATGATGATCTAGCCGATTACAAGACTCTAAGTGAAAAATTGGCCAAGCTCGAAACTTCTGGACTGTCTAACCGTTTGTTCTATTTGGCAATCCCGCCATCCCTCTTCGAAGTGACCACAACTCACATTCAGGAAACATGCATGGAATGCAAGTCAGTAAAAAATATTTGTACAAATAACTGGTGTGCCAGAAAATAAAATATACTTTTTTTCAAGAGGTTGGGCTCGTATCATCATTGAGAAGCCATTTGGCCGTGACGCTGCTAGCTCTGAAAAACTCTCCAACCATTTGGCAACTTTATTCCGAGAGGATCAAGTGTATCGTATTGATCATTATCTCGGCAAAGAAATGGTTCAGAATCTGATGACATTAAGGTAAAATAATAATGATTAAATTACTCATAAAAATTGTTTTTATTTGTTTTACATATATTATTAAATTTTATGGCTTCAGATTCGGAAACCGGATGTTCAACACTGGATGGAACAGAGACAATATTGCTCAAGTACAGATTACTTTCAAAGAACCTTTTGGCACTGAAGGTCGTGGTGGATATTTTGACAGCTTTGGTATTATCAGGGATGTCATGCAAAACCATTTGCTTCAAATTCTCAGTTTGGTCGCTATGGAAAAGCCAGCGACAATTCATCCTGATGATGTTCGAAATGAGAAAGTAAATTTTCTTTTATCCTATAAACAACTTAATTTAATTTATAACTTCAAATGTACACACATTTTGTGACTTAAAAAAAAACTTTTGTTTGATGTTTTTCATATTTGTACTATTCTACACTTGATAATGTTTGCTTGAAAAATTATTTGTTTATATTTATATAGTCTCTGCGTTTGTCTTAGGTAAAAGTCTTAAAATGCATACCACAAGTAGAATTGTCTGACGTAATTCTTGGACAGTATGTAGGAGACCCAGAAGCTAATGAAGACCATAAAAAGTTTGGTTACTGCGACGATAAAACTGTACCTCCCGGTTCAAAAACTGCAACCTATGCATCTGCTAAATTGAAAATTAAGAATGAACGTTGGGATGGTGTGCCTTTCATCTTGAAGTGTGGAAAAGGTATGGTTACATTTTTGTGTTAAAAAATATTCAATATAAATATTTTATTTTTTCTCTAGCATTAAACGAGCGAAAGGCCGAAATTCGTATTCAATATCATGATGTACCCGGAGATATATTTGGAGGAGTTTTGAAGAGAAACGAACTTGTTATACGAGTACAGCCTGATGAGGCTGTGTACGTAAAAATGATGACCAAGCGACCTGGTATTGGATTTGAAATGGAAGAAACCGAACTAGATTTGACTTACAATAGCCGCTACAAAGTAATGCTAATAATAGGACTTTATAATGTATATTTACATTTTTTTCAATTTCATTTTCAGAATGTCAAGTTACCCGACGCTTATGAGAGATTGATATTGGACGTGTTCTGCGGCTCTCAAATGCACTTTGTGCGTTCAGATGAGCTTTCCGAGGCCTGGCGTATATTCACTCCTCTCTTACATGATATAGATGCGACCAATCCAGAACCATTACCTTATAAGTGAGTGATTTTTAAAAAAAATTTGATTGTACAAGTCGGTTACATCATATTTTGCCTGTTTTGCACAGATATGGAACTCGCGGACCAACTGAAGGAGACCAACTCGCCCTTTCCAACAACTTCAAGTATTACGGATCTTATAAATGGGTAAAACCGCATGCTTAATCTGAACAAAACAAAAGACTACATTGAGATGAGGTTTGAGCCTTAGATTTAAAAACTAATAATATCTATATAAAATTGTTTTATATTTATGTTAATTTATATAATAATAATGCATTTCACATATTTTTTTTTTGAAGTTTTTTTTTAAAAAATGTTTTCTTGTAATAATTTAAATGTCTTATTATTTTTATTTTGTAAAATGTTAATTTTTTTGTAAAACTATTATTTTATTTTAAATTTTACTCTGTAGTCTAAGCAAACCTAAGTCGGTGATATAGTATAGCCATATTGTTTTTTATGAGCAGTAACTATTAAAGAAACTGTCCATTTTTTAGTAGTTATTGTATAAATTGAACACTTTGCCAAGTTTTAGAGTATTAACGATATTGACGTTTTGAACCAAAATATCATGCTCAGTATTATTCGAGTACTTGTCTAATGATCGAGCCTTGATGCATGTTCACTATAATAGTTTGTTTGGTTTTTAAATTATTGTAAGTTAACAGGGTGTGGTAAAGTGTTTTAGTGATATGTTTGTAATCTGTAATTGTTTTAGCAGGCCTTAGCGAATTTATCACTTGTTACTTGTTTACCATGAATATTGTTTTCTTAATCTTAAAGTTTTGCAGGGTAACTTATGTTGTTGAAATCTCACCTTATTTTAAATTTTTGTAAAAAAAAATATGCTATGCTGTCATAATTTAAAATATATATTATATTCAACAAAAATTTGAAATTATTTAGTACACCCTATCTAACATTGTTATCTAAAATTTACAGTATCTATTAAACATTTTATGTTTAAATTTAAGAAAAAAATATTAATATTAAAAAAACAATTGATAAGCTGTTTGTATTTGCTATCTACTTACACAAACGATTTTTGAAATAAATATTTGTCTAAAAAGTTATTCATACCATCATGTAGCTTAACAAACCATGAAGACCCATCATGAGATGGTTTCTTGCCGAATTCGCTCTCTGGGACAGGACGTCAGTCGGTCGCCGAAGAGGGGGATGACGGCTCCTTTTTTTTAACCGAGTGTCAAATCAGCGCTAACACACTGTGGCCTACCCAATCGGCAACTCTTTCTCCTATTCAAAATTTAAAAGTTTTTACCATTATTGCAACTGGCATGCATTACATGAGAAAATTATGAGTTGATAACAAAATTTTGTCAGCTTAATTTTTTTAATGTTATTATTGCTTGGTGTAAAATTGAAAACTACTATACTTGTTTACATATAATTTAAACACCTATTATAAAATGTAATTAATTGTATACAAGTATTAAACACTGACTTTTCCCTTTTTAAAATATCATAAAGAACAATTTCCAATAGCATATTTATTTAATTATATAACCGCCTGGCCGGCTTAAGTACAAATAATGTGAACCCCATTAGCAATTGTGTTACAAAAAAAATAATAACGAGAAGAATAAAATATCCATAAAAAAGCAGCAGCCTAACCAGATGAAAAATACATTTTCTTAGGAGAAGAGTTTTTTTTATAATTAATAACTATATACGTAGACAATTATTGAACAGATATTAGACAGACAAGTATTATAATATAGACAGGCTGTATAACCGTTGTTGACATATTTGTTCGTATATACAAAGTGATCAAGAGAAGTTATATTATCTGCTTCCAGATTGAAAAAAAAAATAACAAAAATTATTGGGCACTATTTTATAAGTATCACCTATAGAATAAATTTTGGTCATCGTTTTTACCTTTGTTTCTTGTAAAGCCACCATGGTTGACCTAAATGAAATCGACAATAGCTCTAGCATGACATCTTGGAAAACTTCATACCATGCTAGATGATCTACTAATTTAATGGCAATATGTAATTTGTTTAATATGAACTCGGTTCCATTACAAATAAGATTACAACACTATCTGTGTGTCTACTAAACCGATTTCAATTTTTTTTTTTGTTACAAAATTTTACATCTTTCAAAAGTGGGTTGGTCAAACTTTTATTTTAGTTTACAAAATATTTCTATAAATGTTTATATTTTTACTTTTTTTATGGTTTTTATCTAATAAATCAAACAAATTTTCTAATAGCTAAATCGAAATCGACCTTAGTCTCAAGAGAGAAAATTGTAAGCTTCATTTAAAGAAAAAAAAATTAAAATCTGTCCAATAGATACGCTAGAAAATTACTTCTACGAAAGACACTTTTTATCAAACTTTTATCACAATTGAAGAAAAGTAACTTAATGTTTTTTCACCTTAAACTTTGTCGGCATAAAGTCCTTTAATAAATAGCGTTTTCCGTTCCCCTTTAACGCCGCAATAATTGCCAGTTTTTGGATAATCAAATTAAGTTGGTTTGTAAAGTCATGTCAGAATTATAGCAAATTACCGGTCTCTTATCATTTTTCGGACAACTCTTGATTCCCGGACCGTGATAAGGCGCGTGGCCGATACTTAGACGAGTGTCTTTTGATGTACAGCGTTTGGTACCAGGGTTGAATGCGGCAACCACTACTATATCGCAGACTTGACGCGTACACGATCGCAGTGGAAACATGGACAATATATATCGTCTGGAATCGTACTAGAACAAGTGGCGAACAATGAACATCGTCGGCGCCCATCGAGCTACCAGGGTCGCATGTCGATGATGCACGTGCAAGTGATTGTCGTCGTTCAACGCCGCGGCGGCGGCCACAGAGTACAGCCACAACACCGCCGCGACGCAGACCGCGAGTTTTCTCATACATTCCTGGTACCTTTTACACGTTTCGTAATCGTATGGTTTTGAAATTGAAGTAGCACACACCGCATGCCGTCGGTTTTTGTCGATATCTTTTTTTAAAACCTTTTTTTTTTTATTATGATTAAGATACACTTTTTGTGATAATAATTTAGTACTCTATTGAAAATGTACTGAACACCACTTTTTTCGACGCGTTAAACATCTTTCGGTTTTACCGTACATTTATAAAAAATTAAAGATCAAAAAATATGTATTCTGGATAAACATGAGTTTATTGCGAAGTTATAAGCTGTCTAAAAACTACGATAACTTAGTTTCTAAAAACTTTATCGAAAATCGCCCATGTGAAAACTTAGATAAAGTCTTGATCGTTAAATTTGTATAGATGTACATTTACACTAAACCCGTTCCTCATAAGAAATGTTTTACTTATTTTCAATTTTTTTATTATTATATGCTCTTCTTTAACTCTTTAACACGTGCGTACGTTTGTACGGGTATTTTTAAATCTTGAAAAATTAATTTAACCCACTTCCCAACATTGTAAACGGCTGAAATTTAGCCCGGACATTCATTTTGGATGACAATACAATGTTCCGTCATAAAATTGGTACCCGGACATCCTGGTCGCAAATGTCGGGTGGTCAAATATGGATGTCATTTCCAACAATTCGGATTTAAAAAAAAAAAAGCTATTTAAGCCACTTAAAAGTCGTATAATATTAAATGTTATCGCAAAATAAATCTGTGTACCTAAGTATAATGTTTTGATGAAATTAAAAAAAAACCTTGACTATAAATTGCTTCTGGTATTGCGTTTTCTTTTTACATTTTCATCAAAAGTATTTTACTTAGGTACACGGATTTATATTGCAAAAAAAATTAATACTTATAAGATGTTTTTGTGGCTTTAATAGCATTGTTTTGTTGTGAAAATCCGTATTTTCGGATTACTATCACTGGGAAGATAAAATTAGGGTTGATCGCCTATCTTTAATAATTTGTTGCCGTTGTTTTATATCTTAACTAGCAATAATATAATAAAGATATTTTTAAATACCTGTTGCTGTTGATTTTTCAAAACGTTAGTTTTTCCTTTAAAAAAAAAGTTTAATTGCAGACCTTAAGTGCTAAGATTTTGCATGAATAAAATAAATAAATAAAAAGTTTCCACATCTTTTAGGGGATAGGGTTTAAGATATTTTCTTATCTTAAGAATAATAAGAATAATTCCATTTACATTCGGAACTAATTGAAGTATTTTTAAAAAAGTTACCTATAGAGTTCCGTAATTTTAAGTTGAAAAATAAGTATATTTTTTGGGTGTTTTTGAAAGCAAATGGGGGAAATTGTTAAAGTTTTGGCCCAATTAAGTACCATTCAGGTACAGTTCCTGACCATGAAAAGAAAGGTTTATTGGTTTAGAAGATATTGCGGGTTGAGACTAAAAAAATAAATAAAATAAAAACATATTATTGTAAAAAAAAACACCTTCTTAGATATCGAAGCTAAAAATAAAAAAGACGATGTACGTCGTACAATATTGTAAACTGTCATCAACATTTTAAGATTATATAACCGCTGCAGACAAAATAGGATTGTTTATAATTTACCAACAATGAAAACAAATAGTGAAAAACATTGACAACAGATACTATATCAGTGAAAATTGTGATGAATATTAAATATAATATTATGTACACTATCATAGTATACCAAAGCTTACAGACTTGATGATGTATGACGCGTCAGCCGTCATACATCATCATACATCTTCTTAGTTTGTTTTATTATGATAGTTGAGATTTATAGTCAGTCACTAAGTATTAGTTATAACGAATATGATATAACACTGTATAACAATTATTTATTTTTATACAGTAAAACATATTATGTAATGTATCAATTAATTGAAGCACAGCTCAATACTGATGTGAATGTATTCAGAGGTGAAGTATAAGCCTAATTCCAATCCGGTCTTTATCTAACCCTATTTTGGGGGTTCTAATGGAAAACATCCCAAAAAATAAATTATATTAAAAAAAGCTGGAAAATTTTAACAGAGTTGAAATGTTTTTTGACAATTTATTAGTTATTTTTTTTATTGGTTATTTTTTTATTATATTTTGTTCGTATTATTCGTCGATGTACTTAATCGTACTCGCCTCCTACTGTTATACTGATATCTTGGCCGATAGTTTCGGTTTTATGATACCAAACATTCGTGTCCAATATTACTGAAAAAAAATAAAGATATTGTTAATTTTCGTAAGCGGTTTAACAGCACTGTCTTACTTATGTGACCAGCTTCCATGTTGACTTCGAATTGGCGTTTGCACTTGAAAAAGCATTCGAGCGGTGTCCTCAAAGTCCATTTCTTCGATCCACTGAGTTGAGCCTGCCAGGAAGGATAAGCGACTTTGTCTATCTAAATGTGGGAGTATATATAATTAATTTCTACGAAGTCGGAACTATAGTCTTATTTCGTTATCGATACAGTTATTATGTTTACAATTATTATGTGCAAGCTTCCTGTATGTCTATAAATTTACGCTTAAAAAATAAAATTATATGAAAAAGCTCCCTTCTTAGAGCGTTGGATCAAATAACATTTGGTTATAAGGCTATTGTCATATTATGGGGACATGCCTCAATGATATTTCTGAAGTATTAATTTTATGTTTTGTTGTCTGGGACATAGTACTGTTATACGTACATGCATTGGAGCTCCGTGACCTGGAGTACCCATGAATATCCACAAGGTTGGCTTGTAGTGCGAGTCAACTGGCAAAAATCTCGGTGAGTCCACATGCCTTTTAAGAATTTCAACAGTATTGTAATCGCAAACGCTCCTATAGCATATCAAAATCAAATTTGTTAAAAGTACAAATAACGATGATGACAATAATGTGGGGTTTTTGTTGTACCAGTAAACTATAGTACGATAATGCGGCTATAAACGGTAATAGGTATTTTCTCAAAATAATTATTATAATATATGTGTATTGTTTAATTGGTATACTTTGCTAAACCGACCTCTGTAATTTATTGTCAACAATTTATGCTGTTGGCATTAAGAGAAAGAGAGAGAGGGAGAGATTATAACTTAACGTCTATAATGTCAGAATACGAGTGCACGCGTCTTTGTTTACTTTCGTTGAAGAGAGTAATTGTTTTTAATACACAATATGTACCTATATGTAATGTTTTACTTTCGCTTTGTCGACGACAAGCTATTATGATGATCATTCAAAAGGTTCAACAAGTAATTATAAACGCTGCCATGTTGTGTGTATTCCGTTCCAATGGCTTTTGCGGTCATCACATTCCTTTGCTTTAGACAGACCTTAATAACGTTATGGATTATCCTAGGCCATTGTGCGTTAACCCATAAGAAAAAAAATTAATACACTGTCCGGAGAGGGGAACGAAGGCGCCTAACACAGTTGTACCTACCGCGCGAAGTCAGGCACAACCAGAGTTCTATTTACCGAAGCAGATGTGTTTTTTAATTTGACAGAATAGACAATTAATAGGCGCGTTTTCGCAGGAGCAAGATTAGAGAAAATTCGCTCGTCCAAATTATTTTTAATTTTTCGGTCTGGTGCTCTCCGAAATCACAATACTAATTTGCTAGTCTACCGAGTCAGTCTTGAGCTGTTAAGAGTATCTGTGCAAATTTCCGAACATAAAGAAGTGTTCAGGGGAAGGGGAGAGGGCGAAGCCACCTCATATAAGTATTTTTATAATTAAAAAATAATAATATATTTTTTTTTTAAATACTCACCAACCGATGTACCACGGTTTGTAACCGGGTTCGAGGGCGGCTCGTCTCTCGTCCATGTCCAGCGCCTCTTCTAGCGTTTGGAATTCCGTTTTGTACGGGAAGTACTGACAAGACTTCAGCTGTTTGGCTTTAGATAAGTTTTTGAACAACTCAAAACCAAGACCCGTTGTTTGGCCCAAGTTCGGATCGCCGGTAACGACCACCGGCCGACCGGTGTATGCGTACCTAAACAATGTATATAACGGCCTTTAAAAAAACAAAACAAAATACCGACTTAAACAATGGCATCCAAACTGGTCGACTCACTCTTTTTCGAAAGTATCGGCCGACATGTTGGATACTTTGTCGATGGCTTCGAGTCCAATGCAAAACGAACAATCAATCGGTGGTCGGAGCACGTCCTCCAAGAAGTCCGGCAATCCCACAGCACACTATAATCATACCATGTCAACTTTAAATCTATGAATAGATACTTTTTTTTGTACACGTTATTAATTATGCAGAATAATGACCGGCCTTTACACAAAACATAATGACCTGGACGTGAACCGATAGAATAATAATTTTTATCTAACGCTAAAAATCGAATATAAAATATTTTAACGTTATATTAATTTTTATTTATATTTGTTTATTTATTTATATTATAATAAATAGTTTTTAACTAATGCGGGCACTTCATAACTTTTTTAGCTTAAAACTAAAAAAATATCATATAAACCCCTTAGAAGGGACAGAATTTTTTTCTTTATTTCACTTTTTCAAGCAATGTTTTAGAGATTTAGATCTGAAAATTAGACCAAAGGTAGATCTAAAATGGAACTATAACATATACAATTTTCTCAAAAATCTGTAGTCAAATTTTTTTTTATTAAGAAAAAACACCAAAAATAGTGTAAATTTACACTTTGGCCGTAGTCAGTTTCTAGGTTGCTATGTGCGAGTGAATGAACAGTCAACAGGTAATGAAAATATTTTAATTATATTGTTAATTACGATATATGGGTAACTATGACAGTACATTTTTAAAGACAGACGATTAACCCTTATCATATCCACCCTGCACCAGACTAAATTTAAAATTTTAAGTACAATATTGCTAGTCCCACGATAGCTTCTAAACCGCTATAACTGGTTTGAACATACTATCCACAGATTCGCATCAACGCGTTTATTTAAAAGTGATTTTATCACTTTCAGTTATAATAAAATCTGTAGACCTGTGATCTCTCCGTCCCCACTATGCCCGACCTTTTTATTTTTGTTCTTATGACACATTTAATACACAAAAAAAAATACTCATTATTGTTCCGTGTTAGCTTTACTATGTATACATTTTACGACCTTTGTAAGTCCATCAGTTATAAAACAATACAAGCGAGGGCTTAAGATACAAAACCGTTGACGACTAACTGCTTGAACTCTCAAACTGCCTCTTGTACACCGATTCCTATATTACTAAATATTAAAATGGTTTAAATATTGTCATTCGATCCCAACTAAAGTGGTTAAATACTTGCAATTATATTCGACTACCTGACCGGACTTGCTAATTATTTGGCTCTCTAAAAAAATGTAAAATTGTCTAACCCTTAAACCACCTCCTACCAAGATAAGCACTCAATTATTTTACACTGTTAGTTACATCATAATAATAGTACATATAATATATTATGAATAAACTACTAGGTACAGTTTTAACAAGATTATACAGCGTCTAAGGCTATGGAGTGTACCGTCCAATACACACAAATGACGGAACACGAGACACACAAAAATCACGATTTAGACATCTCATTGCTCAAAGGCTGCTTTTGGGCTATAGGGCAGCAATCGCCGCGGCCACCGTCGTCTGGCGGACAGTCTGTGCACGGATGGCAACCGGTCACGTGCAAGCTGAACGGGTTCTTCTTGAACGCCACCATGGCGTCCAGGCGCTTGTACATATTCAGCTTTTCCTTGGCCCGGCACAGTTCCCGGCGGATTTTCAGAAAGCACACTTTCCTATCTGTAACCACGGTCCGCTGTGTGGCCCTTTGCCTCGCCGTCGCTTCGTACGCCCGGACCAGCTCGTAAAAATTGCCCAGCCCCTTGTTCAGCTCGTTGATCACATCAAACAGATGGCTGACCGCCCGCTCCTTGGCGTCCGTCCTAGTATACAGCTGGATTTGCAGCGCCTGCACGTCCAGGCCAAGCTGTTTTTCTAGTTGCTTGTTGCCCGTCTCTTCGTATACCAGACAGTCGACCAGCTTCTCTTGTTTCTCGATGCACTCAAAGCTTGAACACACCTCCTTTTCGTTCGCACAACACCAGTTGCTGTGGAAAATAAACACGCCACACGAGTGAGATAATATCGGGTAGACAGGCAGTGAAGTACAGGCAGTAGTAGTAAGGTATAGAAAAGTCACTGGGCGCGCACATTTTTCCTCAGCAAACTCATAGACGAGAGCCCTTGCACTTTTCTGAAAATCCTAAGATCTCTGTTATTCCCAGTAAATATGCGCAGGTGTCATAAATCTAGCGTTTTTTTAATAATACCCACCTACACGTTGTGTACAAATAATGAAAACCAGATAGTCATACGGGAGTCTGTTGAATGCAATATTATGTAATGATGTGTCATTAGGAATTTTCAAACTTAATTCCTGTAAAATGTTTTAAAATGCATTTATCAAACCTGAACATTATGCCATCGATAGAGGTAAGAAGCTCCGGCACACAAGGCACGAGGACTCTTTTCGGAAACTTTCCGTACTCATTTCCTCTCCTATACATAAGGCTGTTCACCAGTGGTGAGGCGTTGGTCGGTCGGGGAGACGTTGAAAAAACAAATGTTTTATCTTATATTATTTTCATTCGTACGAGTAGTTTTCATTGTAGTCTTTTAAGATGAGACAAATTCAATCGTTATTATGCTCAATATTATTTCCATACACGTTTTAGGGATGGACGAAGGTACCCGAAAAAATGGTAAATACGTGTTTGCCTGGAATTTTGTTTGTTATACCTCTGCTGTTCCGCGGCCGTTATTTCTTCCTGGGTTATTCCACATACGCCACACAATGGCGGCACATCGCTTATATTGTACAGCGAATAGGGGTCGGCCTTTAGCTGGACAACCCGGACAAACGTCATCAACACGACAACACACCACTTCTGCATTTTGACAATTGGACAGTCGGAGTATGTATTAACCTTTGTTCGCTATACAAACATACAAAGTTTACACTACGCGCCCACCGTCGTTACCATGGCACTGCCGTTGTCTGCACGTTTTGCTGGCAGCCGGCAAATAAGAGCAACAACACCATAGACACCTAATTGTTGCCTTCCAACCGGTTGGATGCTTTGCGAAATTAGTGATCCCGGGAACAATCTCTTTGGGGCAAATATAAGCCCTTGGAGTTCCATGGGGTGAAAGACGCTTGAGACGACTACGACCATGGAGGATCAGGTGAAAAATATTGTGGGAAAATAAAACCGTCGGCTGACTGTCCTGTTTTGGCAATTAACAGGGAAAAGTGACAAGAAATATATGTATATGATATGGACTGCATTAGGTTCTAAAAGGTGAACACTCCAGAAATAAAGAACGACGGTTCTAGAAATTATCGATTGTGTGAGAAACAAGATGAAAACGTATCAGTAAACTAACCAACGACGATAGATATCTGTGGTTCTAATAAAGTAAATATCATGAACAGGGCTTGAGTTGATGGTTGGGAATATAGAAATTCAGTAAGCCAAAAGGTTAAACACCTGATGAAATTGTCTTTTTTTTTTTAGAATAAAACTCTTATTTCAAACACCTGAAACAATACTCGTTTGAACGTGTTAAACATTCGAAAACAAAAATTCTAAGAGATTCGCCAATAATGAACAAGGGGGCTGGAGTTGATCTATTTTTTTTAGAGTAAAAACGTGTCTGCGGGAATCATTTTCGATTGTGTAAAAATCCAACCATAATTCATTTGTTAGTCGTTTATCGAAAATTGACCATGTCAAAATCTAGATGAAGTCTTCATCTCTAGTTTTGTACACATGTATTTTTACGCTAAAATGGCCTATTTTTCTTTAAGGGGTCAATCGAGACGTTTTTGTAAAATATTGGCTCAACAACTGTGTTGTGAGATTTGGAAATACATATAAAATGTTTGTTTTGCCAGTTCATCAAATGATAAAAACCTAGATTTTTATACATCAAATAAAGGCAAAATAATCAGTCATCATATTTTCGTGAGTTTTAAAATCATTAAATAATAATTGTGAACCAGGTTGGCTCGTTTAAAACGTACATTTTAAAAATGGTTTAAATAAAAAAAATGATAGTTTTTTAAGATTTAAAAACATTTTAAACTTTGTTCTTTCCTGGATAAAAAAAAATACCGACCCTTTTTAGAGAGTTTGAATTTATGTTTGATATTCTTAAAGTAATTTTATTAGTTTATTATAGCATTGGCATCGTTATATACATAAATCAAGTAAAAACTAAATTTATGATTATATGTTATTATGTGTACTCGTTAGAGAATAAATGAGTAGGCACCTTATAATAGTATATAATATTTTAACTCGAGTTTATGTTTAAACACATTATAGAGTATATCGTGCAATAACATAGTTGATTGGCTTTGGTTACTGATGTGTTCAGTGAGGACACTTTATCTGGTGTACCGCACGACTGAACAATAATTCCACAATGAATGATTTTGAGGGTTTCAGCCTTTTGGTGAACTACTGTACGGGAGAAGAAACACGTTAGGTTGAATGTAATTACCATAAACTTTTAGTAGTGCTTTGAATGTTATAAAAAAAAAATAAAAAACCCAAAAGTCCCAAGCAGAAAACCCAGGGAAGAGAATTGCTTTAAATGGACATTGGACTGTGCAAAAAAGTTGTTATAATGTTTAAGTATCTGTTTACTTTTTACTTAAAATAAATCCTATAGAGTAAGCTTAAACGAGTCGAGAATATTATGTTGGTTCAAACGCTTTTGGGTTTTAATCATCTGCCTGACACGCATTCGAATAGATCGCACTGTATGAAACACAGTGAGTGCAATTAAACATTTATCAAAAATCAAATACCGTCGAAAACTGCTGTTTCCAGTCAATTATATTGCTTTATACAGCGCAAAACAATTACAATTTCGATGTATTTACACGTCAAGTACACGGGTTGCTCGTAGCATGACCAATTAGCAACTTAATTCATTCTAGTAAAAAAACGAACGATATTAATTACAAATAAAAATTAGGTTACACGAAAATAAAATAAAAAATCCAAACAAAATCACTGTCGGCGAATTCCGGTGAGTGGCCTCTATATAATTATTATGTTGTAGGATACTTGCAAATCGGCAGAAGTCTTATTCTTTGGGGAGGTAAAAATACGTATTTTTGACTAATAAATATGTTTTAGCTTCCAAATTACTGATCATAAAAGTTTTTTGAAATGTTTTATTATCGTTCAAAACAGCATTTAACCATAATTCGATACCCTCAGACGCACAATTAGAATTATTTACATACAAAAAAAAAAACAAATTTAAAGTAGAGACTTTGCTTTTTAGTAATATAATTGTGAGAATTAAAACGCTCAAGTATTAAGTAGACATTTACATAACAATATCAATACAGTTAAATTAATAATATATATATAATGTAAACATTAAATATTTTTAGCGAGTAGCAGCGTCGAATTATATTTCCAACAATTTGACATAACATTATATTAAACTTAAAACTATCCCATTCAATAATTATTTGTTTAAACAAGTGGTAAATAATTAAATTTTTAAATGTAGGCAAACCTAAAGAAAGTTTGACTCGCTAAATACAATTTCTCATACAATAATTGTTCGTCAAAAATTACTAAAAATGTCTAAAATTCATATTTTGAGACAATTTTGAGCATACTATTTGAAAATAATAGAACTTCACACAATCCTTTTCTGATTTTTTTGGGAGATGTTTATTCGAAAAGTTTTATTGGGGATTTCATTATAAATCAAAAAAAATTATTAAGATATATCGAGCTCAAGTATACGGCCAAATTACGTTTTACTCTTATATTAAAATAATATGTATTTATATGAGTATGACAATATGGTCTTCTTAAGGGTTCAAATTGTTTTTTTATACATTAAAAAAACAAAACGTATTTTTAACCTAGTCATCATTAACGATTTGTTTCAGTTTTTATTCTGAAAGTTTTTCTGGTGTAAACTTCTTTAAGTGTAAATTATACATTTTGGGCGGAACACGGTATTGGCATTAAAATGAACTGAAGTCTTAAGTAGAGTTTTATTTTATAATTATTAGCTTACAAACACCTCTTTGTCTACAATAGATTTTTTTTTGTTCACTTGCCTGTTGATGACCTCCAGATAACAAAGGGCCGACGGTCAATGTCCATCCCCGGTAAAAGGCGTCTGACAGGATGCTCCAGTTATTGGATCCCGTGATGGCGGACAGCGCCAAGACAAACGCACAACAGCTCAGCACATCTTTAACAGATCTACAAAGCCGTCGATCCCGAGCTTCGACCAAAGCATCAAGTACACTGTCCAAGTCTTTAGCGTCCGAAATAAGTTTTCTCAATTTTCGTTTAGTCTCTGTCATCGCGCACACCGTACGATGGCGAAGTTCAACAACTAACTGTGACCTCCTCCAAAGGGCGGCTGTCGGACGATTAGCCCTCGAGCGCTTCGGGAGTGTTCGGTTTTCGACCGGAAGCCAACGTCGCAAGTCCATCTAACTTTTTAACACAGCTAGCCACTTTACAAAACGTTAAGCTCTATTTTAAAATATAAGGTAATGCAATAAGACATTCAAGAAAACCTTTTTGATTGAAAATAATTAATAGATAAATATATATATATATATATTTACAGAGTAATTCAATAAATATAAAATACTCATTGTCACTTAAAATAATTTTATTATTTTTTTTTTTTGAGATACTTTAATTTATGTTATTGTACAATATTAGAAAATATTCAAATTTTTATCTTTTTACATTTTTTCCAGAACGCCATATCAACTTGAAATTTAAATAGGACCGTTTATATTTAATAAACATTTTAAATTAAGAATAATTTACTGACTACTGTAAATGTTGACTGGTCGATAACCAGTTTTGTATATTTACTTTTTAAGTTAATAAAGTTTAAAGTTTAGGACTCCTGTCCTGGAAGGATGAAGTGTATGTCATATTCATACAAGGTGTAAAATTAAAATAGGTAGGATGAACTCTTTATTTTAAAAGTTACAAATGATATAAATTATTTTCAACATTTTTTAAAATTTTTAACTTTCGCTGAAGGATGGCGACAAATATTTGGTTAGACTATCTTAAAAAATATTTAATCTCTACGGTAGGCCAAGGTCCATAAACTTCATTAACCTGTAATTTAAAATAATTAATTACAATGTACATACCTTTTTCGAATACCTATTTCGTGAAAAATGTAACATATTTATCCACTTCCTTTCTTTTTTTTAATTCACCTATATCAACGACTTTCACTCGTTATAGATATAATATCTAAATATCTAGAAATCGTATAGTTATGGTAGGTAGGTTCAGGTGTTATAGTGCACAGATAAAATATTTCATGAACCCGCGGGTATACGTTTGGGTCATAATATATGGCAACTCGATAGTTAAGCATTTTTTTTAATTGCAATTTTTACAAACATATTTTGTTTGCATCAGTCGTTGATTTTGATAGGAAACAAGGAAATTTCCATAGAACACAATTTCATTAAAGAGAAAAAACAGAAGACAGACGTTGTTATATATTTTTTTTATTACCACTAGTAATTTTTATTATTTATAATTTTAATTTAACTTTAATGTTTGTCAACTATAATATTTGTTTCCTAATTATTTCAAAATGTATAATACTAGATTTCATAAACTTATACAAATTCAATATACATTGTAATGGAAGTTGAAACAGCTATAAATTATTTAAGGATAAATGATAAATCTATGATTAATTTGAATTTAACTGTGTGGACTAATAGATATAAATGCAATAAAACACAAATGTGAATTATTGAAACAATTATTAAAATAGTTTTGTTTGATGTTTATATACGAGTATTTAATATATATATTGATTTCTATGTGGTTATCTTTTAGTCGTAATTGAATTAAAAATCACTATAATTGATAAATATGTTTTAACTTTTAACTATCTGAGAATCCGTCTATCATTTTGTTAGTTTAATTAGTCCAAACAATTATAGTTATATTGTGTAAGCTGGTAAGCATATTGAATGCATTTATTAAATAAAACTATCAATTCTTATTATTATTTACACAAATGACAACGGAATAAATGTATAATTTTTTTTTATTTTTATACTTTTTTTTTTACATTGAATGAAGACCTAGGGGGGTGGCACTGACATTAGTCGTTTCACCCCTCAGTTATTTTTATACTTATGAAGAATTATTATGAAATTCAATTTTTTTTATATATCTTTGAAAAAGCGATTAAAAAAAAAGGAAGACTTAGAAAAATGCTGAAACAGGCTAGCGAAATTGATTTAATAAAATGTGATCTAAAACAATTTATTAATACTAATTTTAAGATTGTATTCTTAGATAAATATGCGTAGTACATTGGGAATGATATTGTATATTTAACTGCCAATTGTATAGCTTTTTGTTAGCCTGGCGACCCCAACTTTTACGCATTAAATAACTTTTATATGTAAGCATTTTAATTTTGAAATTTCTCTGTTACAATACAAATTCTCAATTACTTCTCTATTATAAATGGCCAAATTGGAATACTCATCTCCATGGTTGTTCGGCGTATAACATGAAAACAACAATGTTTCAACACATTATTATTGTAAACTACAGTAATAGTACTATTCATCATCTATGTTATCATGTTCATATACATCTGTACTATAGTTGTTTTCCTATCCGTTTGCTCTACAATGGATTACATCGATAATGCATTAATGAACAATCCATTTGAGCCATTGATGCGCTCAACAACCAAGCAGTACTCTACCCGTGGTTCTACTACTCGTGAGTTCTTACAAAATTCCAGTTTTTCAACCACCGATGACTTTTTTGAAATCTATCCAAGAATAAAGTGGATATAGTTGTAATACGAGCCCCACTCCGTAATTCCGCAGGACGGCCCTTCCGACAAAGGTCTTCGAGCAGTAAACCAAGTCAAGCCAAACCCAAATCACACGATACGCCCAAACTGGAGTCCGAAGAATTATCGTGTCACAAGAGCGACCGGTGCGAATGCAACTTGGAGTTCCAAGCTCCCGAACGCGTATGGGGTAACTATAGTTACATATTAAAGAATATAGTAGAACGAAAATAAAATCAAATTTCGAAAAGACATAAGTCGATCAGTGACATCATGACACCCTGGGACCAGGGTTAAATGTTTTGGAATATGTATTCCCAACTAGTAAACTAATCTTACTGAGTTGACATGAATATGTCTTACGGTTGGGGGTCTGTCGAAAATTTCATCTAATATGTCATGACGCAAACCTAACCATACAGCTAGTGATAATACTATAAACAGCTGATAGCAAATAGAGCCTGAAGGGGAAGGAAATGAACATGGCACGTTTTATGTGTTATAATACAATTCTTTCTTATATAGGTAGGTACCATAAGACATATTTATGATCCAGCGTTTTTTTTTTTAAGGAAAAACTAATGTTGTTATATTGCCTCAAATTATCGCATATAATAATCAAAACTATAATGAACCGATCAAAATACGGTATTTTCCACATCCAGGTAAAGATTTTAATACGTCCATAGCCAAAACAGTATGCGAGGCTTGCCTGTACAACCGAGGTTTAAGCGTCGTACGGTTCACAAGGAAAGGAGTGAACATGTGCGAAAAAGTCTGCAACAACGAAGACCAGAAATTACTGCGAGTGATGCCCACGACTGTCATGTTGAAAGACTCGTATTGCACTAAGAGTTATCTCAAGGCGGCGGCTTGTGTGTGTGTCTTCAAGGTAATATTCCAAGCGGACAAGCACTATGTATTCATACATTACATTCCCAATCGAAACGGCGACGTTGCCATGCAGTACTTTGAAACCGGACATCCATTGAAAGTGTCATTGTAACTGTTACTATACCGCAAGGACATTAGCGTGCTAATGCTTCAATTAATAAAAACTATAGAAGAGTATTTGGTACGCCAAATACAACAGGGCTCTGGTGCATCGCGACTTCGACTAGAAAATAGGCGTAGTTTTTCTATGTCAATTTCTCCGAGTAGGTGCCTACAAAAAAAAAAATTATATATTTATGATTAGTAAGTAGAAATTAATAAATATTTTGTAATTTATAATTGAAATATTTTTGAGCCAGTCAATATCTTAAAAGATATTAGACCTTTTTTAACTATCGTTTTTTACGCATTCAAAGTAATTGGTTAGTTAAAATTTGATATATTTTCCTACTATATAACCCCATCACTTATGTTTTAAAATCCTATAAACTTAAGATTTATAAATAGTAACGTTTATTTTTAAATATCTCAACTGTGAAAATTAAAGATTTTCTGAAAATGTAGGCTGGCCTATAACCAGTCTTTTAAATTTAGGATGAAGGATGAGTGCGGTAGAGTAATGCGTACAGATAAAAATAATACTGCATTCTAACTTTCCTCCTCTGTTCTAAATTTTAAACCTTAATAACTTTATAAGTAAATATCCAAAACTGCTTATCGATAAGTCCACGTTTTCAGCAAATTTTTCCTAATTAAAAAAGTTAATAATATATCTTAATTACCTACCATTAAAAAAGGTTAAGTCCATAATAAGGCTTTAACATATAGGGATTGGGTTATATTTTTGAAAAATTAAATAAAATTGAGCGAAAGATTATCTATAGTATATAAAAAAAGAAGTATTTAAAATAATTGTTTTATAGCTTCAGAAATTTGACTAATTTTTAGTGAGTACTTGTACTCCTGAGTACCTGTGTGTTTGTTTAAAGATATCCGCTGTGTTCTTGGAACATTCACTGTATATTTAGTACTTAGTAAATATAATTCAAATAATAAATAGTTGTAATATTTTTATAAATAGAACTAAATAATTATAGATACAGCCCCCTGACATTTGTCCGACTAATGGATTTTGTCGATGTCTTCGCATCGCACGAACACAAAACCAAGATTGATCTATTTCTTGGAAGTCCTATCACCTGTAGCCTGCCATTGATGTCCATAGGTTAATGTATTATTAGCTGGTGTAAGTGTGTAGTCAGGAGGTACCTATTACGGGTGTTTTCCGGTCGAGTACTCGGCTGGCGGATCTCATCTTGGCCGGGAACACACGGCGGCGCTTTCCACGAGCCGTCACCGCATGGTCTGATTACCGTATACTATTATTATTATGTTTGTAAGTATGTACACGCGTTGCTAGTATCCAAATAATGGCAATTAAGAAAAAATAAAAAACGCGGATTATCGAGGGAGCGTACGGCGGGCCACGGTCTGAGGCACAAAAACGGTTTCACCTTTGATGTACGAAGTTATTATTATTATTATATTACTATGTCAGTTGGTCAGCCGATTAAAACCGTATGTGCCGGGGTTAAACTCCCATATACCATATACTCCAGTGTAGTTCCCACCTCTCTCTCCCATCCACACACGGTCGGCGAGAGTTAACGCCGCTTTTCCACAATCCTTATGGCGCTTTTCACGGTTTTCTGCATATATAAGAACCTGACCGCCGTCTAAGAAACCATCACATTCACATTGGTCTTCATACGACAAACACTCGGTTCGCCATCATACACATACCGGTTCACCCGAACACAACACACACACACACACACACAAGATGTCCGCGTTCAGATTGCCGCTTGCCGTTTGCGTGACCGCGTTCGGTCTCGTCGCCGTCGCTGTCGCCGTACCCATGCAACAAGATGCGTCGGCCCAAACGGCGCAGCTGGAAGACACCGTGTTCGGTTTCGGCAAAGTCCTGTGGTCCGTGTTCGACGATTGCTTCGGCGGCGAATCGTCCGAAAGGCCTACGGTGTGCCTGAAAGGCCGGGCGTTGACAGCGCTCGACCGGGCCCTGAGCAAGCCGACGGTGAACATCGTGGACGGCGTGGCACTGACCGCCCGCACCGGTAAGTCCGTGGCCGATCCGCACGACGAGGAAAAGGACCGCGCCGCCCTGGACGCCACCAAGGACGCCGACCAGAAGGATGCGCTGCTCGACGATATGATTGCCAACCGCGTGGACAGACTAATGGCCACCAGGACCATTGTGTTGGACGGGCTCCTCGGCCAAGAAGGTAAACATTTTTATCTTGTATAGTATTTTTCATTGTTTTTTCGAGTACTCACGCGGTCGGCCGTTAGTTTCGGACGATGCGTTAATCGAATACACATTACTTGGCACGTACGTCCTGGAACAACAGCCAATAATTTACTATTCCCATTGTTAAGTTGTATATTTGATAAAAATCAACTAGAACTCGTGAGTTTTAATGCGCATTTTGAAATTGTTCGGTATTTTATCTTTTAGCCTGAAAAATTTTAAATAGAAAAAACAAGTTTCTAAATTTATTAGTGATGTTGGTAGTTTTTTAACCGATCTATAAACAAATCGGGTGGTTAAATGCTTGGTTACTAAGATTCTCGAAGGACTATGACGTCTACAAAATGTTTGTGTTATTTTAAACTATTTCTTGGAATTCCGGTTCTATTTCTATAGAGGAAATTCGAATTTGAAAGCCCATGTCTGTTAAACGCTTTCCCAGTTTTTTCTTTGCAAATATTGTCTCACTGGCGTACTGCTGTGACTGTTAGACCTGACTTGAATTGTCTATTAACACTTTGCCACAATATACACATCATGTCTATCATCGTTTAAAAATGTTAAGTTTGTATACTAATCGTGGACTCATTCCGTACAGGACGCAAAAAGAAGGACAAGGGCATGCAACAAGCCATGATGATGGCCGGTATGATGGCCGCTGCGATCATGGGACCTATGGCTTTCAAAATGGTCGCCCTTATGGCCGGCAAAGCTCTGTTAATCAGCAAGATCGCTTTGGTGCTGTCCGGCATAATCGCCCTCAAGAAACTGTTGCAGCCCCAACAGAGCCACGAGTCCGAGTCCGTGTCCCATCATTACGGCCGCAGTCTGCAGTTGGACTCAACAGCAGCTCACAAAATGGCCTTTTCGGCTCAACAAACACAACAGCAGTAAACATCCGTCGAGACGTCCGCCGTTTAACTTAAACAACGACTTAATAATTTATTAATTTATTCTTATTTATTTGATTCCTATTATTTATTTTATATATTTAATAATTACACGGCGTGTGACTTTCGAACGCGTTCGCAACAATTTTTCGTTTAAGTTATATTTTTTTTTTTTTAGATAATTTTTAACAAAGTGATTTATATGATTTAATATGTTTTTTTTTTAATGATAAAGTACTTAATAAATAGTTTTGAGCACAACGCTCAAGTGCATAAAAAAAATTCGATCAAGTTGTTTTATTTTAATTAATTTATGTTCTCTCTAACGTTTTTTTTTTATATATATAATTACCTACCAGCTACTGTATTGATAATGGTAACAAAGAGTTTACGGATGGAATATGGTATCTACTCTGGCGCATAATTATATGCTACCCAACGAACATACAAACCACTTATGGCCTACATTCGACAAATGGGTACGCACGATGGTATAAATAATACCTATATAGGTATGCTCTTTAATATCATGTTAATTTAATAGACATGTTCACTCATTTGATCTTGGTGTATAGGTACATAATGTTTTTAAAGTATATAAATTACATGAGTTTTTTGGCAAGAAGACATCGGAATTCTATAAGAACTCTTCTAATTTGTACACTTTTTTTTTAAATATGTGATGATGTCTAAACTCGCACCTAAATTAAAATCCATTTTGGATAGCTATGAGCTATAATACCAAAAACAATAACCATTAGGCAAACCTAGACATTTTATATTTGAATAACAATTAATTGAAAATGACAAATAATTCGAAATACATTTTAATTTAGCCTATCAAACATTTTTTTATTCGAAATAAATTTGTATTTGAAATAATTTATTATTTATAATTTCTAATAATATTTTATTTAAATACATTTTTATTTGACTTTTTTAAACAACCTGGTATTTTAAATCTTTTTTTTTTTAATTATAATGTAGGTATTTTATTTTATTTTTTAAACTGTTATTTAAAAAAAATGTTTTACTTGTTATTTCAATTCGTCTAAATAAAAGTACAATATTATTTATCATTTTTGAGTTTTTATTAAAATAACACCTAGGTCTGCAGTATTAGGTAGGTAATTGTTTAAACAAAATAATATGGTTAAGACAAAGAAATGTTCAATAGTCAATTTGGCACTGTTCATAATAATATAGGGTTAGGTAATCAGTCGTTATTTTTAAAAAATATTTTTTATAATTATTTATTATAAATAAATATTTGACACATAACTATTGTAGTGTAACTCATACATACATACATAAATAATTAAAATATTTAAATTTAAAAAAATGGCCATACGTGGATTACTATTGACGATTTACGAGTACTCTTACTCTTAGTGCTGAATCTTCAAGTTTTGAAACGACTAATCTTTTAGTACCTTGCAATGTTTTACACTTAAGATGCTTTGGATTGCTAGTTTATAACAAATCATGTTATAAGATATGTTTTTATTCTAAAAATTATAACAAATTATTTATAAATATATAATATATCTTTCCGAGTAACGCAAATCTCTTTAATAAGTATTGCCTAGATGTTTATAAATTTCAATTTCGTGGCATATTTTAAGTTTATACTTAATACTATTTCAATTAAGTAGGTACTTAGTCATAATAGTATTATTATTATTATTAGATTTGTACTTTATTTTATTATTAATTAAAACAATAAATCGTCTTTATAGACCTAATTAGCTCTGTTGAAACAAATTTAATATTATTGTTTATCTAAATATACTGTAAACAGGCGTTCACTAACTATACAAAACTAGGTTAAAAATATATTTAAGGTTTTCCAAATTCTATAATTGATCTTAGGTGGTTTTTTCAGTACCTACCTCTAACTTACCTACGTTATATTAAGATTTTCAATTATTGTTAATTAGATAGGCCAGTGTAAATGATAATAATAGTTCCGATAATTTTATTTCATCGTTCATTCCAAAAGAAAGTTATCCGCATGAAGTTCTTAATAGAACATGAAGTACTTTGGGCAAAGCACACACAACTCTATTTAATATGCGTTATGCACTTATGATCGCATGTTTTTTTTTTTACCTAAAAATCTACCTTAAAGTTTTAATGGGTTCTTAGAGTTTTACTCAACTAGGTTAACAAGACTCCTGGCAATTAGTTAATTTAATTGTCTGTACCTATTGTACACTATTTTTTTTTGTTTGCTCTTGTGTACTACTTAGGATACTAAACCAATGTGATTATTATACATTATTAATTGACCTTGACGGTAACATTTATTTTTACTCGGTTTGGCGAGTATATTGCAATTTCGTAGTTTACACAGCGTATTAAATTTTTGTTTATGGTACCTATCAGTTAAACATAATCTTAACAGTTATTTGTGTACAATACACACAACAATTATTAAAAATCCGTCAATTAACTAATTGGTAATTTCTACAACAAGCATTTTTCTGGTACAAAAAAATATTACATATTACAAAAAAAAAAAAAATTACTATAATAATGTTTTGCTAATTCTAACGAAAATATTTGTATAAAAAATGTTTTGACAATTGTTAAGCCACACGTCAGAAAAGATAGCTTTATTTCTACACTTGGAAAATGCACCAACAGTGAAAGTGAAATATAAAAAAAAATATTTGCCTAGAAGGTATTTGTTTTAACAATGGTGTGATTTTATTTATATTTTTTGTCTTGACTCATATTTCTTGACCGACTGAGCAGATTTTATTTTTGTAGGAAATCTTAAGATTAGAAATCGTATACAAAAGTTACTTTTTAAAGCCATAAATGGAAAAAATGTGTCCAATTTTCTCAAAATCAAAAAAAACCATCACTCTTATTTTTCAATTAAACTTTTTAACATTTCTCTATTTAAAAATTACCAAACGCTATTACCAAGTTGATTATCCACCTTGTCTTTAATAAATATTCCATTTAGCTCCAAACTTATTAAGGGATAATCTTAAGATATAGCACAGTGGTCCGTGAGCACCCAAGAAAATATCATTCACCATTACTCCTAAAAGAAGTGAAAACTTTTCATGCTAAGTTTTTGGATTATATATCTGAAAATTAGGCTTTCAAAAATCTGTAATCAAACTTTTTTTTCTTACTAAGCAACGAGTCTTATAAAATCTAATATTGTTAACTGTTAAAAATCATTAATCACTTATCTTTGTTGTACATTTTTTTAATTTAGGTATACATATAGTGATTAACTTAAGACAAGCAATTTTTTTTAAATACATAGAATATTTTTCTCTTATTTATTAATTTCCTAATTAAACAGTAAAAATCTTCAACTTGAATTTTCTAGTACATGCCTTACCGATTAAGAAATTATGACATTTATGGTAAACTTAAAAATCTCATATGATTTATTGCCTACAAGAAGTAGGTATGATTTATATATTAAAGTTGATTAATTTTTACTATCCTCAGTTTCGCATCAAGAGTTTATTTTGTCATTTTTTGGAATTAAGGACCTTACAAATTGTATATTATTTTATTTATTTGATAAAAACAACAATTATTCAGGTACTTTAAATTTGAACAATTTTGTAGATTTTGATAATAGTTTTATTTGTTTTAAGAAGGATAGAAGTCTTTGATTTTTGTTTAATAAAATTAATAATCGTGAACGATTAACCTTTGACCAAAAAACAAAATGTGTGTAGATAACATCAGTTCAGTAGTCACAAAATATATTATACATTTTAAGATTTTTAAAATAAAATCCTAGTTGAACAATCTGTAGGTACGTCTCAACTTAATATAAAAACCAAAAGGAAACATTAAAGCATAATAAGCAAAGTGATAGTATCAATATACCTAGTGTATTTTTTTTTTATGCATTTGACAATTGAATTACAAGTGTTTTTAAATATAAAAAAAGCCAAAGGTGTGTGAGATACAAATAGTATAATGTGATTAAGAAATAAAAACACACATAGCCATGATAAGATATTACGTTAAGAAATGATGTAATGGATTTAAAATTTTTAAGAACTACTCTAAAATACATACGTATATAATAATAACATAATAATAAGTATTTCTTGATTAAATCTAAAAATTAGTGTTCAATATTTGAATTATGTAAAGTGCTCACTAAGTAGTTGAAATGTTCTAGACCGTTGCACGGTTGTAATGTTATAAGAGTCAAACGTGAATTAGATAATAAGTAATAATATATGTTAAATTTTAATTTATAGTAAGTAGTTAAAATTTTAAAATATTTAAGATCTACTGTTAACCTACTAATACATATAATATATACACTATATATATAATATATATAATTTATACAATTGTAATAATAATATAACATAAACTAGTAATTAAATCTAAAAAAACTTATTTTTATACACATTTGTGTATAATTTTAATTATAATAATACAATTTTATTCAAAATTGCAATTTGGTAAAGAAGCACTTTAAACGTTGTAATATTGCATTAATATTGTTGGTAAATTTTCGCTTAAAACGCATTTTCAAGCTATACTAATCATGTTTGATGGTAACTTAAAATGATAGCCGATGTTAAGTAATAGTCATGTACCAAGAAGTTAATTTATTGTTGATAGCTTATAGAATGAAGTATTTATACACAAGTTAATAAATTTTAAAAAATGCTAAATGGTTTTATAGGGGAAATTGTACATCATGCTTATTTACAAAATATGTGTTTGCTCTAAAAATCTTTCATTATCAAGATAATAACATATGTTGGCATCAATATTAAAGAGTTAGGTTCAATTTAATTTATAAATAATATAAATTATAGTATTAGTTTGGCACAAAATAAGGATACATTAAATATTAGAACTAATGTATATAATTATCAAAGCAAAGCATCTAATTAAATCTTAGATTGAATTTTCAGCATACATACAATTCGGAAAAATTATTCCAAATCAAAAGTAATATTTTCAATATTCATTAATAAGTTTAATTTGTATACGGCATACATATATGTAAATTAAACATCAGTAAAATGTTAATATTTACGCTAAAAAGTACATATTATGTTAAAATATCTTAAATAGTTGACCTAACCTAATCTTACCCAGCTAGATCATAAATTATATAAAATGTCTTCTAAAAATTGTAAGTTAAAATTTGAATTGGTTTTTTTAATGAAAAAAGTGTTGTCACTTAAAAATGTAATTACAAGTATTATAAAGAACTTCAAAACTATCGCTGTCACCTTACCATAATTTAAAAATCGTCATCATAATATACAACGCCGTATGCAAGAGCACGGAATTTATTTATGCAAATTTCTTTAAAAAGTTTCAATGATGGGCCAAGTCTCAATCTGATTTTTAAATTAGCATCAGACTTTCGCATTAACAGCAAAGTATGTCCATCGATTTCCTGAAACCATAATTTGGAAATATTATACTCAGATACCTTCTTCTAAAAAAGACATTTTTTTTATATAAAATATTGATACAGAATAATATTATAGATGAAGGAATTATTATTACTCTTTGTATAGTTCTCGATAAAACGTCTTCAGGCAACACCGAGGCCAAATACACAGTTAAATCTTGTTTATCCCAATCGGTTACATCCATAGCAACAAACTCTTCCATCTCATAAGATAACAACAAATCTGCTGGTGGCAATAGGTCATCTAATGATTCACTTGATGAATCAGATGATGAGTCATCTTCCGTATGCTCTATTGATGAACCAAAGGAGTATGAAGATTCATTTGATGACGATTCGTTTTCTGTTGTTTCTGGAGAGCTATTACAAGAGTGATTAATACTTGTGACTGTGAAACCACTATTACTGATTTCTGATAAATCATTTGAAAAAGGAAAACCAGATAAACAAGATGAACTAGAGGAACTAGAGGAACTCGATGAACTTGATGAACTCGATGAACTAGATTCACTATCTTCTTCACCAGAGTAGTGCAGTTCATCCAATCCTGAAAATGAACACATTTATATATTACTAATATATAATATAATAAAACATATTTTGGCCATTACTTTGTTCTGTCATTTTAAAAGCTACACATGTCATACATAAGAATTTCTCTTCCCACTCTATCATGAGCATGGGCTTAAATAGGTCATAGCACTTTTCATCCACACCAACTTTACATTCATGACAACGGCGTAAGTTTGCCTGTAAAACATGAAAAAGGTTGAAAACATCTAACCACGTTTAAAATGTGGACAAACATAATAGACTGTGTGTCCGTAGTTACACAATACTAACCATATTGGGTTGTTCAGATAAACATTTACCGCAATTAACTAGTAGACACTGTTTACAGATCCATGGACACATAATCAATTTGATTTTCCACAAGGGTTGATGAGCACATAGGCAGTTGTTGTGAACTATGAAATAATACAACATTTAAATACGTGTTTATTTAAAATAATTTATACTATTACCCCTAACTTTGCAACACGCGCATTGCTCAAATGCAATTCCTCGACATATATTTGAACATATACAGCATTTATTTAATATTTTAGGAGGGGGGTTTGGAGTAGGAGCATCCGATTGATAATCTAAACTTGAACATGAACTCTCACTAGATGAATAACCAAATGTTATAGTTGATGTACTTCTTTTCGCAGAACAAGATGCTATAAGAGAAGAGCTGGCAATTCTTTTTCTCAAAGCGTTAGATGGACCAGGTAGCTGATTACTTGCAGCCTAAACAAATAAAACGAAAAAACAAAATTTTAAATTTAAACAACTTTATATCAAATACATGATAAAAAAATATCTTACATTATCTCCCTCTGATTTAGACATCAATTCCCTTATTATGTCATTAGGAATAATTAGTTTTTTAGGCATATTGTCCGCTCACAGTAAACTTGAATACAAAAATAATCAGAAAAATGTTAACCATTTGGAATACAAATGTTATTGTTAGTATGTTTCAGTTGCACAGTACAAGTATAACTTGAGTATTATATGAAAGTTTAAGTTTTGAAAGTGAAATTATATGATTAGATAAAAGAATACTATTAGATAAATAAAATAACGTAATGATACAATCTCAGTAACTACAATTAACAACAATTTTGTTAAGAAGTCACTGGTAATAAATGGCTCTAGTGCAAAAACAAACCAACTTAACTGAAGTTTTTCTATTTAATAATAAACTAATAATGTTAAACTTGTTCTGATAACTTTATGGTATTTGTCATTTATTTGTTTTAAATAATTGTTTCAAATTGTCACCTTTAATTTGATATATTGTTGTAAAATTTAATTATACGTCAAAGTAACTCTGAAACTGTGTTTGTGTGTGTTACAAAACCAGACTATTCACTACAGTGCATCTTGAACAATATTTTTTACAGTTAATGAAACGAATTAATTACATTAAAATTGTAAAGTATTTATATTTGCAATTTACTAAATGAATTAGTACACCATATTTAAGTATAGTTTTAAAATATATTTAAGATCTAAGCTAATAAAAAAAATATATATATAATAACATATTGAAAATGTTTTAAGTAGGACATTTGGGGTAGTCCAAATTAACATTACCGTTTAAGACATATTTCTATTAAAATGTCCATATTACATTTAGAAACATGATCAGGTTAATAATGTGGTCATTTATGACGTCTCTTGAAAAACTTCAAGTTAGCTGAGTTTGTAATAATCAATTGAAGACTTGAAAAAAGACTTTAAAATACTTTACAAATTTATGGATACAGGTAAAGTTAAATTTAATTTGTAAAATGGTTATGAAAGAGATATAATTTAATATTTAAGAGGCATAAATAATTGCAAATTTTTAATTGTAAATATTTTGTATAAATAATTTAAAATAAAAATGTTATAAAATTACTTCGACAATTATTGTGCAGATGCTGAATTATAACACAAGATACATTTTCAACTCAAGGACTCTTAGGATGTTTTTAAAAACAAAGTATTTGTACCTTATATATACTGTAGTAGTACTTTTGTACAACTGAAATAATTGTTTTTCAAGTTTACCAGCGCCTTTATAATTTTCTGAAATTGGACATAACCAATAGATTAATTTAAAACGTTGACAGATAACAGCCTAAAAAAAAAAACAAAATTTTCATTTGAATAACATTTTTGTATTTAAATAAAATTTAATACTTAATTATTACACACTTCAGTAGATAAATCCAACGGCAGTCAAAAGTCAGAAAAATAGCCAATACCAGTTTGTTGGCCAAAAAGGAAGTTATTACTTTTGTGAGCCCATCAACCCACAATATAAGGTGGTTTTAATTGCCTCGATAACAACAAAAAAAGAAGTTAAAAATTAAAAATTTGTCATCACAGATTTGTTTAATTATATGGAAAGATTATTAAAACATTATCCTAAATTATTAGGCTCTTGTCCAGAGACAGATTTAATGATTTGACAAGCAATATTTTCTGCGGCATCATTTAAGACCGTTAGTATAAATGCACTTTACCGGACACCCTTTTTTTTTGTTGCCAAATTATAGTGTTTTTTTACGCTGGTTACGAATCTGAAGTCAGAATTAGGCGGACTTGGTTAGTTCAAAAGTTATAGCTAGTTGAAGTTTGCATATTTCCCCTATGTTACAGTATGCGGCGGCAGAGCGTAAAAAACACTATATTATGGCAAAACAATTTTTTTTTATAAAAAAGGGTGTCTGGTAAAGTGCAATTGTTCTAACCGTTTGCAGTTTTTGTTTAAAAAAAAAAAAAATCATCCAAAAAAGTATTAGGCGCGCCCTAGACAAGTGGTCTATCTATGAATTTACTATAGCTCTTGCTATACCTAATCAAATATATCTTATGCTAACTTCGCACTCTAGCTTTGCTTAAAATTCTTTGACTAGCAACAAAAAAACCGATACGAGACGGAATGAAGGCAAAGCGAACGCACCCTCTCTGACACGCCTAGCCTCGCTTGGTCTCGTCGAGACTTTAAAACCAGCCTTCTATAACTTAATTTATGTCTAATAATGCATTTTGTAACGCATAATAACCCCTTAAATAATATGCGGGCACCAAATGCCTTAACAAAACAAAAAGAGACCATTTCCAACCCTTTGGAGGGGTGACCCATTTAATTTCACGGGAACGTATGTAAGCCCTAAGCATATATTTAAGTAGTAAATATCAGTTTACTTACAAATTTCGGCGGTTAACTGGCCACTCTCGTGCGTGATAATACAACAAGGAGACGACGACGACAATGGTGCAAACGCAAAATGAATTGAACAATCTTCGGTAGAGTAGAATGAAAAAATTCCGTTTAACGCCCAAAGAATTGACAGTCGCAACGGCATTAAGTGTAGAAGCTGTGTGAGTGAACATCTTCGATCGATGGGAAGATGTACTTCGGGACACCGACGTTTGAAAGCGCTAATGGTATAAGTGTAAACAAAGGCCGAAAGTTCAGATTACACTGGCGGTTTACCGGGTATTTAAATAACTAATGTAATATTTAACGTTTGGAAAAAAAAAAAAATAAACAAAACGTGTTGGTAAAAAATGAAACTTTACAGGACGGCGAATTTCGTCGTTTTTCAAAAAAATATTGTGCAGTCAACAGTTAATAATAATGATAATAATATTATTATTTACAATTATAGGGGGGGGTTTTGACATTTTGTTCGGTGATTTGTGTCGCACATCAACGGCAACACTGATAAGGCGCACAAACCTACCCCCCAAGTATATAATACAATTATAATGTAAAATAAACGCAGCGCTTGTTTATTGATCGACGGCCAGCAGTGCCCTCGCCGGCCGCCCGCGCAGACCGCAGTCGACCGGCGCCGCGGCTCGAGTCTCGACTTCACCCTGGGCTTGACAAACGGCTGTGGTGTATAATTGTATACCAACATCAAAAATAACATCATCCGGCTTCTTCCAGACGTGAGTATTCGACAAATATATTACACCGTCACAACTTGCCAGTCGATTGATATTTGTTTTCCCCGGAATTCGTTTAGGAGTCTTATTATAATATTGTATGTAAAATCTTATAATAATTGTAATAATTAACATTTAGCGGGCGCCATTTTGCGATGAGGGTGCGTGGTGGACATATTTAGCCACCTTATTGTTAATTTTTTTTTTTTGCCATCCTCTTGGCCTGGTAAGTTGCATAGTACAATGTACAGTGAGCACGTAGATCTGTTCAAAAATGTATATATTTTTTCAACAAAATCAATATCGAAAAAGTTGATGTTCGGTAGGTCAAATCTGAAGCTGGCCAAAAATTTAGAATCAATTGCTGTAAAATTGTATTAAATGAAAACCCATATTGTTACTTGTTTATATTATAATAAAACGAGTAGTTAATTTTTTTTTTAGCTAATTAGGCCATTAAAACTCAACACTGCCTTTCTTGAATGGAGATTTCTTAACCATTTTCAATTTAAATAATAGCTTTTACAATTTTTTTAAAAAGTCCATACTTATAGAGTTTATCTGAAGTCTTGTTTGAAAAAATATTTGTTTGATATTCATAAAAAATATTAATAATAATTTTCAAAACAATAGAGATTATTATTTTGCCAATGCAGCCAAAAAGTAATTTTAATGTACTATGCCGTCTCGGCTCAACTTTCAACCTGGCATGAGATTTTTATCCCACTGTTGCGTTGTTTTTTTATTTTACCGTTAATGGTTTGCATCTACACCGTTTATTGCATTCAAATATTGATTATTATGCTTAGCTTTTTGTCATCATTCTTAAAAATTATTTCTTAACTTTTCCAATTCATTAAATTCAATTATTTTTTTAAAAGTATAAAAGTTTAAAATTAATTTTTGTTTATTTTAACTAATTTATATGAGTTTTTATTTTTTTTTTTTAAATAATTGCTTGTTCTTTATTTAAAAAAAAAGATACATAGGGACTGTATTATATTATAGACCCTGTCACACGAGATAACAGTAGTGCACTGAACCAAAACGTGTCACTCCTGTATTCGCAGGCACATACGAGAGTAATAAGTAGATGTGTATATATATATATAAATATATGTATGGTTTCTAAACATACAATACTTAATACCTTGTTGATTTATATTTTTTAGAAGATAATTACTTTAAAAAAAAAAAATGTCCAAGCGAAATAACGATGAAGAAGTCGCTATAAGCCGACCTAGGAAAAAACCACATTTTGATCCAGTTGGACTTAATAGTAAATCGACCGAATTCTCAAAATATGACAATAAAAGATTAGCTCAGGTTGGATTTTTTTATTTTATTTCTTATATATTGTTTATTTACATAAAAAAGTAATGAATTACTCGGGCAGTGATATATGGTGTCAAACTTGGTACTACACCGAGGTTCACAACATCCAGTTTACGGTGTACGAATAATAATTTCCATGCCATTAGTTTGCCGCCTTATCCACTGCACATGTTTACTATCATGATAAAAAAATAATAATAATTATATTTTATACATTAAATTAGAGACTTGTACAAAAAAACAAACTGGTGGTAGAATTAAGAAACAAAATTACCCGCCTTGATCAGCGCCAAACCGAAAATGACTTAGTTTCAATTGTCATTAAAGCAATAAATCGCTATTGGGATCGATGGGACGAAGATTTTCATTTACTGTTGCAAAAATATGACAGTGAATCTGTACACAATTTCAAACGCCAAGGTATGAAATTTATTAATTATTTAGTTGGTAAATTTTAAATTTGACTTCATTTTTTTTTCTTTGTATTTTAGATAAAAGGGAAAATACTGATTGTTTATTGCACTTTCCAAAAGCGGACGTAAAGGAGTTCAGTAAAAATCTATCTAATCGTCAGGAATTATCTAAACAAGCAGTAGGAAAAATCATTGAAACGTTTGAAAAACTAATGGAAAAAAAAGAAAAATTATCACTTGCCATAAAAGGGGAATTGGAATTGGATGAAGGCATATTAATATATTACACTTCTTTAATGTTCAAAGACTAGTATTTATTATATTTTAATATTACAGGGGAGCCAAAAATGTATAGTGTAATCAAAGAGATTAATGAACAACTTTGCACTGAGAATCAAAACTTACAAGATTTAAACTCAAAATTATTTTGCTTGTCCAAGGATATGATATCCCAGGTAGAATTTTTAAAACTTGATTACTATTTTTACCTATTTATAATAATTAAAAAAATAAAATGAGATAAATATATCAAAATATATTAAGAGATTTACTAAATATATTATTATACCAATTTTAGGTTAAAAATTGTAATTTTGTCTATTTCAGTTGGATGGTCTTAAGCGTACTACTGTAGAAAAAGAAATGGGACTCAAAAAAATGCGTAACCAATTCAAAGAACTACAAAATGAAAACAAACTATTTCTAGAACAAAACAATCAACTTGAAACACAATTGGCTGAATCATTGGAAGTCAAAACAATGGGAACCGTTGATAAAACTGCTCATGAACAAGAGAAACCGAATTGTGAGTAAACAATTTTTTGTAGGTATGCTTCGATAATATATATACAATTTTAAAATTTGAATGTACTTTTAAATTATATTTTTAAAAAATATCATTTAATGCGACTTAAGTTTTTTATAACGTTTGATTCATTGTTATCATTTATCACATTTGTTACAGATGGAGAATCCGAATTAGACAAATTAGACGTATTAGTAAAAACAATATTGAATTTATCTAACAGTCCATGTGTTGAAAACGACTCCTTCGACAGCGATGATAGTGACAATAATGCTAATACTTCTTAATCTAAATAATCATCGTCAAAAGTTTAAAATACTATACATTTAAATAAACATTACATTTGTATTCTTTTTGTGCTAAAACTTTTATTAATTTTACTTTTATTATATTCAAACTATACTAGCTTAAGTGGCCAATTAATTTTAGTGACCCGTTAAGGACCATCGTTGTAATTTTCAAGGAGGATGTTTATGGACACATTTGGTTTTTGGAGAGGGATAATTGGTCTGTTGCCATTAAACTGAATTTACCGAGTGCGGAGCTGACTAAAGTGAGTACTACACACTCTGTACTGGTCTCTTAAATTAATTAATAGCAAGAGTATTCTTGTATTTCATAATGTATCTCAATAAAACACCAAAAAATATATAATAAAGTCAATTCTAAACGCAATTATTAATATTATACACAATTAATAATTAAGGTATACTATTAGAACTATATTTGTAGACATAGATACTTGAATACATATTGTAAGAAGCCAATTATTGTTATTTTCTTATTTAAATACATAATAAATTTGAATCTGCTTAATTATAAACTATTAAAGGCTAGTGTAAAAGTATAATTGAATTAAAAACCTATACGATTATTAAATAATAGGAAATAAATTAGTGTACATTTATCATATTATTTTATTTTTAAACAACTTATATTCCTCAAAAATATTGTAATCATAATTTTTAACTTGTGAATACATATTGTAAGAAGCCAATTATTGTTATTTTCTTGTTTAAATACATAATAAATTTGAATCTGCTTAATTATAAACTATTAAAGACTAGTGTAAAAGTATGATTGAATTAAAAACCTATACGATTAAAAATAGGAAATAAATTAGTGTACATTTATCATATTATTTTATTTTTAACAACTTATATTCCTCAAACATGTAACCATAATTTTTAACTTGTGTGTGATCTAAATAAATCAATCAAAAAGGACTGTTATAATGAATTATTTGAATAAATTTGTATGAATTGCATTACATAATTTTATTATTTTAGTCATAATATTAATATATACTGTTTAAAATCATTTGTTTTATTTTGATATATGTTTGGAGTAACTAAATACGTGTATTATATTTTATTTTTATATTTTTTTTTAAGTTTTTTTGTTAATATTTATTATTTTATTTAAACTATTTTTTTGTTTGTACTTAATTTGTATTTGTATTATTCGTATTTTAATATAAAATTATTTAAGTAAGCAATTTAATATTTATGTAAATATAATTTGTTTTGTTATTTAAATAAATTCGTCCAATAATAAAAATGTATTTTATTGTAGGTATCATTCATAGACTTTATTCCAATTGAAATATTAAAATTATCTAATTTGTTTATTATTTTTAATACAAATTAAAAAATATATACAAATAATACCCTGATAAGCATCATATGTGCCGCATCTGTTTTTGAAGATAAATAATTACATTTTTTACTCATTTACCCAATTAATTGTGAAATTATATAAAAACTTCTAGTAGTTTGCTGAATTTTTAATGTATATAATATATATACTAAAGATTATTTAAATTGCATATATATATGTAAATATAGGCAATTGAAATAATCTTAAAAGACCAAGTGCAATAATATTGTTCTAATTAGTTATTATAATAGTATATTAAAAGTTCTATGTGTAAACATTTTAATTTAGACAAACAACACAAAAAGTTCATCTATTGTAGTTATGTTTTATTATAGTATAATATAAATATAAACATTAAGACTACAATTATCACAGTTATTAAAAAGGTGAAAAAAAATACAAGTTCAGTTCATATTGCACTAAAAAAATAAATTGTTTTAGAAAAATTAAAATAAATTATATGCATATAAAATTAATATTACTCGGCTATAATATAAACCATACAAAAATTAATTGTTACAGTATTAAAAAAAGGAAACACAATTATTAGTACCAATACCGTTTGTTGAGACGTTATCTAACAAGATTTATTCTATGCACACAAGAAAAAACACTTAAATGTAAAATATAAACGTGAGCAATCAAAAATGTAAGTTAGCAACGTGTCCAAACTTGAACCAAATTACTTACCTATTATGTATTGTAACATAACAGTTAGTATACAATCATTCATTCCATAATACTATATCGTAATAAAAAATAAAATACTGGATTGTTTATACGACAGTTTCGACTAAATTTTATATGATTAAATTTGTCTAGTATTAAGTGTGTAATGATCAGAGATACCTATTGATTTTCGACATATAATTCTATATTCGAGTAATTTTAAATATATGTATAAATACATTTATTATTTAGTTTCACTTATGTGAAAAAACTCACTCACCTGACAAAAAATGTAGGTAGTTTGTACATTACACATTGGAGAAAGAAATTATTCTGGCATTCAATTAATATGGTAGGTAGTTGGAATAAATAAAAGTTATCATTTATATGTACTTTTGTGTATTAATAATAGTTTCATTGAAATATGTCACAAGAACGCGTTATTAATTATTCATCTTGCGTTGCTATATAATTAGCACTAGTAACAGCCCACTAAAAATAAAAACTGTTGTTTGCCAACTTCCTACGCCCCTATTGTTAATATTGTACTTATATCGATTATCGACTGTGACTGGCCCTTCAAAGGTTGTGTAAAATACTCGAGCGTTATAAGAAAAACCTATTGTCGTAGGAGACAGATAGTATAATGTATATTGTTTATTTGATATTATAAAATACATAGGCATTGGCCTTTATGGACGCATGCCTTTTAGCGGAATACAGTTGTAATGTTGTTGGTGTTTTTTTTTATTATAAAACAGGAAAGTTAATAAGGTTAGAATGGTTAGATCTAGAGAAAAAAAATAATACACTCTAAATAATGATGGCCATTATCATTAACTGTGCGTTTTATGAAAATACTTTTGTCAGCAACAACGCGGCCACTGTGGTGATCACTACAGCCGTCGTACAAGGCACGATGGTCGCCTGACTCGAGGTCGGGTTATCCAAAACAGTGTACTTAAGCTCTTCCCGGATCTCTTCGGTGTCCATTCGCATGTGGTCATTACCGTCGGCACCGCGAATTCCGTCTTTGGGTCTTATGTCCAAGTTGTTGGAGTTGGTCTGGTTTTGTTCGACTTCTAATTTCACTGCAAAAACAAAAATCAGCACTAGTACTTGGACAAAAGTTCTTAAGTACAAACGGAACCACAGCTGTTGTAGTGCTGGTACAAGAAAATGTCTTAATATTATTTAGTTTCGAACCGGAGCCGAGAAGGTATTGTTTTTACGACGTTTCTTTTTTAAATTTATTCTTTTTAGCGTCTTAATATCCACGTTATCTTTTAAACCGCTGAACTGATTTCTTAAAAGGGAAAAAAAATGAAAATTATACGTTGAGTAAATTTCTAGCTGGTTGCAAAAAAATCATATTTTAGCAGCAGCTACATATTTATCAAGGAGTAAAATTTGAGAAAACGTGTTTGTGTGTTAAAACATGTTAGACGCGAGTTTCGGGAAAACTGATCAGTTTACCTACTTGTGATAGAATACTGAAAAATAACTCCACAGGCGATTTCGTTAGTGGTTGTTAGTTATAAAATTATTTTTTTATTTTTCTATAGTTGAATCAAACTAATAATTTACCGACTCGAATTTCATGTATACAATATTAAAGACCTCGTGATATCGGTCAAGACGTTTCTAGGGGGTTGATACTGTCTTCAATGCATATTATTACCTTTTTCGTGGCCAATTTCGTTTTTGTATTCGACTTTGATGAACGTGGTCATGGAGACTTCAAACACCTTGTTGGGATCCGGTGGGATACTGCTTATTTCACGCCTCTTCCTGCCATAACCGATTTTACCGTTGCTACAGTCCACCTAAAACAACATTTTAGTTCAGACAATACAATATGGTACAGTGCGCTCTTTTTTTAATCATATATAGGGCATATTATAGGCCAATATAGCTCACTGCCTATTATATTATTACATTTTTGATTAATTAGTGTAAATAAGAATACTGAAAGTAATATTTCTTATGAATAAAAAACGTAATAAATCAGCCAGTTAAATAAATACTCGCATATGGACGCTAAATAAAAGAAAGTTGTTCTATTCTCGCATATATCAACTAAGTAACAAGGTCAGCAAAACCACTTTTTTTTCTTCAAATGTATGATGTGAACTAGTACAATGTACATTATAATATATAATACGTCATGTTCAACAAACTCATTAGGTAAATTCTAATTTAAAATGAATTATTCATTTTAAATTTAAATAATGCGACAATTTTTTTATGATGAAATCTACTAAAAGTACATTATTAAATTGGATATTATGTGCACTTTTCGAAAGTGTGTCATTGTGCAAATGTGCACAATACAAGAGTAAGATTATTTTGTACATTCTAATGTTATAGGTAAGTAGATACTGGTAGCTATATTTTCTATTTTACCGAATTAAAAATGTAATAAAAATGGAAAAAAGGGTATTTTAATTACCGACCCCAGTTATATTATAGGGCTTATTTTTTTTATTCTACTACGCTAATTTTTAAGATAGGTATAGATATTGTACTTAGAATTTGGTTGTGTTAAACAAGAGTCATAAATAGTTTGAATGAAACTGAGATTGATTTATGATCATGGCAACTATCAATTAATATTTAGTTTGTTAATTAATACACTTGATAAGTTTTAAGTGTCATTGGATGAGAATTTTAAATGGTTTGTTGTACTATGTATAAAAGTGTCATAAGAAAAATGTCAAAAAGGGCAATTTTATGCATAGCATTGTGATGAGCCCAGAAGTGAGGAGGTATACTATCTATGTAAGATATGTCCGTTTGTTTGGGACAAGGCAAGGAGGAAGAAAAAAATTAAATAATCTTAAAACAATCATTCCATTACAATATTTTTAACAATATGTCGATTTGTTTTTGGTAATAAGAAATTATATGATGCGGTATCTTTGTATGGTTCTTTGCCAGAAAAATGTATACTTAACATTTATGCATCAGTGGAGTCGTATTATGAAGAGAAAAAAAATTGATACGAAAAAGAACTTATAATATTTTAGTTGTGTTTTGCCATGAAGAGTGTACACTAATAATGACAGATTTATTGTGGTAGCTATTACAGCCGGTATTAGTATGGTGCATTATAGATTATCATCATACACACATGGTTGGTTTTGCACAATGCATAGTTACATCAAACGGACGTCTATCGTGGCTTAATCCCAACGAATTGTACGTGTCCGTCTGTTTTTTTTCGTGGCAACGTTTTGACATGCTTATCACGTTTTATCGAATGCGGAATGACTTTTGAGGGACTACCAGTCACCGCGGTAGTTTTTTGAAAATCGTAAGTATGTGTCTAGCGTTACATTCGATGTGTTTATTATTATTTTACTGACCCCTCTGCATTTGTCCAAACAGACGTTGACGGTGCCTTTGAACTGCACGTAAGTGGACTCTGGGAATTTGAACGCCCTGAATTTGGCGGTCAGGAAATCGCCGTCGACTGTGTTGAAGTTCTCGAACAAGTACGGATCGACTGAACAGCTGTAGAAAATCAAAAAATAAATAAACACCAAGTACCTACTCAATGCCATAGTCAGTGGCACAACCAGACACTATTTCCTAGGTCAGGTCGGTATCATCGCCCGAGTTAAAGTCAAGTAGAAAAGCGTCATGTACAGAAAAATAAAAAACTATTTTGGGAGTAATGGGTGACAAATGTTAAATTAAATATTCCCAGAAGAGCGAGAGTTAGCCACAACTCATAGACGAATGCATTATTTATATAATAATTATGTCTACAATAACTCATTTTACATAATTTTTGTCGTGAGTTTGGTCAAACCGACATCTAACCAAACCTGAATTTGCGACATTAAAAAAAAGAGAGCGATGGTGAAGAGAAGAGTGAGGAGGGAAAGAGTGGTGATGGAAGGAGAAAAGAGGCGATGATTGATTATAGAATCAGCTGGTATTTGATTATGCTAAGAGAGCTGACTGTTGAGTGAGGGGAGGAAAATGGAAAGTGTAGAGAGAAAGCAATGTATTATTACAAATTATAGTTAGATAAAGTAGATAAAGGGAGATAAGAAAAATGAACATGAACATGAATACATATTTGAAGTAAGGGGGCGAGGTTTATCTGTTGTACTAAAATTCCTTCGTATTGCTACCATAAGACTTATTCATGATTCAATTCCAATGCTTTTCCTTCAAAGGAAAAACTAATTTTTTTTTTTGTACTTGGAGGAGGCAAAATGATTCTTTTGTTCCATCCCAACCCCTCAAGTTTCATTTGTCCGAAAGAAGTTATGAAACCTTTCGACCCCTTGACTCCCTGGTTACGCCATTGCTGGCGAGTTTCTCCGTGGCTCGCTCAAGACATACCCGTTGAATATGATGGTCTCCTCCTGAGCTTTGGTGTCGGTCACTTGCATGTAGCTAACCAACAGCCCGTAAATGGGTGCGCTTTCCTTGTCCAAGAAAATTTCCATCTGCAAAGGCGTGCCCGGGTTGACGTTCAGCTCTCCGTCCACGACGCTTCCGCCTTGTCGCACGCCGACCTTTAACATGGGCACGGGGGCGTTCTTGGTCAACGTGGTGATCTCCAGGTCTCTGCAATACAATATCCATTATATAATATCATATACCTACTAATTTTAAACGAATGTACACGGTTCACGCAACGAAACTAGTAATGGACAACCGGCCGATAATCAACCGAACGTATGACGATAATTTAATTAGTAAATACCTATGATATCTATTGATTACAATCGGTGGTATATGGTAGGCATTGTGATTTGTGAAATTAGAGCATGGCCAATGGACGTTCACTGAGATGACATAACGTTTTTTCAGTTTTAGATATACACAGAATAAATTAGCGTAGCGTCAAACGTTTATAGTTTTGCTAAAATTTAAATACTTCCAAAAGCCGTATTGCCATCCCTCATAACAAGTGATTCTTCACAAAATACATTTTATGTAAAATCAACATAGCAATTTTCAAAAAAAATGCAGGTACAATATCGGCTTTAAGCTTCAACATGTCATTTTTGCTTTGTTTATATAAATTCGTAATTCAGTTTTAAAAATCTAAAATTTAATTTTTCTTAACCTCCAAAAATGTCAACAAAAAAAACCCCGTATATTCTTAATAACTGATGCAGAGAAAAAAACGATGAGGCAACAACAAGTACTTTAAACAATGAATTCAAATTATATAAACTAGTTAAAATACCGAATAGTAACTAAGCTATGAAAATTAAACTACTATTCTACAATATATTTTACACACAATGGTACAACGCACATGAGGTGTTGTTAAAACCGAAAATTAGAAAGATGACTTCCAACTGTACTTCAATTTTTTGGTTACTTATTTTACAAACTTGTGTAATGACTAAATATTACAAATGACACGTGAAAGTAACCTTAACTAGACTGAAAGCTGTGCACCAAAATATAGGTAGGTAGGCCTTTTTTTTAACAATTTTGTTACACAGCGCATTTGCCTGGTATTTACTTAATAACGTACAACCGTGTAGTGTACATAATACACAATTTTCACACGTCTCAGTGCATTTGTTTGTGCCTTTGTTTCAAGTTATATGAAAAATATTAAGACCGTATACGTCATACAGCGATTTTAACGACGGTCGACGACTTACACAAAGTATACTTTTTCATATTTAAAAACGTTTGAGTGCTGTAAAACAATCGGTCGTTTTGTGCTTTTAGAAAAAAAAACAATAACCGTATTGCCATTTTCAAATATATTATAGGTATAATAGATGTAAATGAGACCTACTTTAAACTAGTTTTCTCTTCTTTTTTTTCTTTTACTAGCTACAGCGCATAAAACGATATAACATTTACCTTTGAAACGACGAGGATAGCTAGTGGATGCCAACAAGACCGCTTAATGTAAAGTATATTATTATGTACCATACAATAAAAATTATATAAAAAGAATATAATTTAATACGCAAGTCTAAGTACGGTTAACACTAATTACCTTCGGAGTGTATCATAATGTACCTATTTATACAAGTACGGTTACGGAGTACACTTATAGGTGTGTATACCTATCTACAGTGCACATACTACAATGTGCATTTTAAGTGCAATAAAATGTGCCTGATGAGCTCCACGGGGAATCGCACTAAAACACGGTCTACCGCTCGCGCTTTAAACAGAAAGGAAATCCAATGGTCCACTTTGCGGATAAAAACAACAAATAAAAATGTATTTAGTTTCAATTCTATGCACGGGAATCGGATTTGCACGAAAAAACATTTCCGCGATTGTTTTATATAACGTACTCAACACTAGCAGTATAGTATTAAAATGTATGTTATTATCATATTATTATCGTCTAGGATAACGTGCTGGTGCACTTACTCTGGTTCCTGGAAACCGGCCGGAAGCACATTCCTCTTGGCAACCGTGTGATTACCGTTTTTGCCGCCAAACCAGCATTTGAAGTCCAAAAACGACTTGTAAGATCCGCCGTCTTTTTCAATGACCACTTGATGGTAATACGTGACGGCACCCTGTTAAACAATAAAAATTTATTAATATTTTCAAAATAATTTATATATATATATATATTATGAATTATGATTATAAATACTAAAATATACTAGTAATTATAACCAATGATATTATGTTATTTTGTGATGCACGGAAATAAATACAAATATTGCCAATCCTAGCGTTAACGTAGGTGCCTTAAGTGTTAAATAAAATTCACTAGTTCTTAAATTAGTATATCAATAGATGTATGTTGTAAAAGTTCTTACGGTTGCTTTGTTGGTAACTTTAGTTACGCCGCACTGGTAAACGTCCTTGAGCGAAAGCTTGAAAGAGATGAGATCTTTGTCGAAAGTAGGTTTGCATGCTGGAGCTGTAATTGTAATATAATGCAATTGTAATAGAAAAATATTATACAAATATAGTAATGCCATATACGGTAAACAATAAGGTCTAGAGTCTACCCACATAATATCTAAGGACTATCTACCACAGTATAATTAAGATATACTTGCAATGTTTCATAATGAAATATTGCAATTTTGTTTTCTTTTAATTTTTGTCTAGTTGACTTAACAGTAAATACTAACAGTAAATAAAATTAAAACATTAAAATGGCAAAATAGGTATCAATTTCGGCTGAAAGTTGATACCAACATTTTGCAACTTATCGACTCAATTAAAAAAAAAAAACATTTTTTTTAAAAGAATTATTATTTTGTTAATGTTTAATATTAGTACTTCAATAGTATGAAATATCTTAAAATATAATATTTTGCTACGCTACAATATACAGATAATTTATAGGATAAGATCCATGATTAAGATATCATTAAGAGCTATCGGTTATTAAAAAACGAATAATTAATTTTTTCAAGATGAAAATGTTCATAATTTAGGGGCGTTCATTTATAGTGTTTTTTTTTTAATTTTCACAAGAAAAAACTTCTATAGTGTGCAATTGTTTATCAGTTTAATTATCTTAGGTAATAATTATGGCCTTACCCGGATAGAACTGCAACTGACTCAGGTAAACGCTTTTGATGTTGTCTGTTCTTTTGATATCGATGGTCATGACGTCATCGTCGCAGTTTATTTTATATTGCACTGTAACAAAACAAACACAAATGTTAAATTTGTAATTTTTTGGTTTGAAACCGTTTAAAGCATAACGATTGTCTTAGTAAAGGCCAAAGATAAAACTGTATCGTTTCTGATTTGACCGTCTTAGAAATTGTTCGGCTGGTATTAATAATTAATGTAAGTTCCTATATTAAATGGGTGGTTTACAGTTGTAAACAGGGTACAATCGTGATTTAGACCAACACGACCGCATATTATAATTGTATACAGAATTATGTATATGGATTCGTTTGAAAACCACAAGACATAGTTATGGACTAGGTACAATCAGCCGTAATACGATAATCATCTACATTCTACAAAGTATAATATTATTATTATAGCGGTATTGTGTTCGTAAAGAGTCCTAACTTACTTGATTATAAGTCACCAGGAATTCGAAATTGATATAAGTAACCCCGATAAGCTGCCTGTGACGGTATTTGGACCACTGAACAAATAATTAATCAGCGAGTAGTTTCCGTAAAAAAAAACCATTCGTCATTTCCCACAACGTTTAACGAATGTCTTTTTTGCCATTGACACAATGAACGTACACAAGAGTTCAATAGATTTCAGTAGCCAAATTTTGTATACTCACGACCCAGGTCGAACCTGCTAAAGGTAGGTCAGACGTACGATCGAATTGGTGTAGCTACTTGGAATTCGTATTTAAAAATATATTTTCTGTATCATTAGGAGAAAAATGTAAAATAAGTCTTAAAAATTAGTTACGATGCGTCATGTGATGATAAAAAGTATTACAATTAGGTATTATCCATTAAAGCGTTGTTTATAACTTCAAATTTGTTTTTTTATTTTAGCTTTGATGCGGAGCTGATTACTTCATGTAACAAGCCTATAGATCAGAAAACGTACTTGAAAGGTACTTTATTGAGCAAAATATTTAAAAATCTCACCCCGTCCTCTTCAAAATCCAGGAAAAAATGTCCTAAAAATGTACATATTTTTAAAATTAAAAAAAAATGGCGCTATATGGCTTCTAAAAAAAATATACATACAAGATCAATAAAAATAAAGTCAAACATCTATAGAAAAAATTATTATATTTTTTACGAGTATTAAACAAATTGATAAACAAAAAATATTGTAAAAACACTAATACGAGTTAGGTTGGTTCCTAGGCTGAGATATAGAAAATAAAAATCAAATATTTTTTTTTTATCACCGTGTTGAATGATAATTGTATTTAGTCACAGTCCGTCCATATAAAGATACGTTATGTGTATCTGCGACGGTCGCAGTCACCACCACCACCACAACCACTACACGGCCCACCACCGTCGACAATGGTTTTTATATTGTGTTATTTTCTGCAAAAAATCATGTGCCGTGACCAGGATTCGAACCTGGGTTATTGCGGCCACAACGCAATGTCCTAACCACTAGACGATCACGGCGCTACGGGAAATTATTTGGAAACTAGCGTATTTAAGACAGGAACGCATTTCTTAGTAATAAACACAAATCCATATTAAAGATTAACAATTATTTTTCATCATAAAATTGGTCTGACCGAGAAAAATATGTCAAATAATATAATTATAACCTCCCAGTGCGCGAAAACAGCCAACACGTTTATAACGGCAATTAATATTAACGTGTCTTTCGCGTTATTCGAATATTACATCAAATTGACAATGGATGGAGATTATAAACAATTATTGTTCTTTTCCATATTTAAACATTATTACCGTGTCACTTGTGTCCCAAGCTGAAACTGTGAAAAAGGACCTCGCAAATTAACCAAATTTCAATATTTCTTAAAGAAAATTGACAATATTGAATGTAGGTACCTATGACACAATCATATGATTAATGATGTCTATTGTCAAATAAAATTTAATTATGTATATATGTGTGGTACATTTTAAAGGTATTAATTAATAGGGGTATCATCATGAAGTCAATACTAATATCTTACTTTTCTAAAAATTCCAAAAGCATACTTAAAAAACAAAGTAGACAATCATTGCTTGTTTAAAAAAAAAAAGTCGTTTCCTTGGGATTTATATAGGCACACGAACTATAATTCCGCGCATAATATAATTAGTAATTACTGTTGTTTTGCTTACATATTTTTCATCATGTCTATTTGCAATGATGATTACTTATTTACTTGTAAACTTTGTCGTTGTCCTACGTTGAGGGTAACGAAGAAGCTGGCGGATCAGCTAAAGATAATTAACGGTAATATTATATTAGTACCTATAATAACAACTAAATAATAAAATTTAAAAACCTAATAAGTAATTATTACCTCTTTTAATTTATTTATTGCCCGGTAATAGGTAATTTGAAGTCGATTTATTTATTTATTCTACCGTGTAAACCTGAATACTGAAATTATAAATAAATTAGTGTATTAATTTTTACAACTCTTGCCAATGCAATGGCTGGTTTACGTAGAAGGTTTAGGGGTTCAATTGAACCGCAGTTAATTAAATTTGGGGTAATTGACCTTAATTTTCAGATTACATAAATGTATTGGCCTCTCAAAATATATAGTAGTTACCTATAAAAAAATGTACTCTCCCAATAGCAGTCCTACAACTGAAAGAACTAAACTAATTTATATTTTTTTGGATACAATATTAAGTAAAAATAAGTATATACATAATATATAGTACGGCAGATACACAATTATGCAAACCACATTTAAAAAATCCTAGACACACGAGTATATGGCTCTCTAAAACAAAGATATAGATGAAATGGATAAATAGAAATGAAATATTGAGCCAATTTGAATTTGATAACATTAATTCATTATGGATAACACACTCAATTTTTCCAAAAAAAAAAAGTATTTATTTTTTTTTGTTCTTTGGGTATTTTTATTGTAACTTTACAACTATTAAGTTTTTTTAATTTTAAATCTAAACAATTTCCATTGAAAATGACTGTCTTGTACCAAATGATTAATGATTAACAAGGAATAGTAGATAAAAAATAGCTTTTAAAACTTTACCACCGAGTCACTCGTGTAATCTCTACTTTCCCTTCGGCCCTCTTATTATATCTGTTGTCTCAGTATATATGAAAAAAAAATATATGTTTATCGACAACGACAGCTGCTGTACTAACAGTTCACAAGTAGTATAGAATATTTTACTACGATCAATAAGGTTTCTCAACTCATCAAGTTTTAGTATTAACCGGGTTAATTTAATCCATAATATGCTTAATGGTATAACTATAAACGTTTTAATAATTACAATTCAATTTTACCTTAGAAAATTTGTGACGTCTTATTTATGCTCAGAATATGTTTTGCCCATAGATAACTTAATAAACGTTTTTCTACTATAAATATTATTATTATTGTATATTTATATTTTTTGTTATATGTCGGAGACAAAAATATAACCGTATATAAAAAAACGTATTGAAGGGAATGACTGGCAGTGTTTAGTGAACAGTGGCGAGAGACAATGGCTGGGTATAGGGTATACGCTGGACACTATACGGCCATACCTCCCTCTCGCCTTTCACCAGCCAGTTTTCTTCTCGGATTGTTTTTCCGATATTTCCAGCAAAAATTGTTGTGCCGTGACCAGGATTCGAACCTGGGTTATTGCGGCCACAACGCAATGTCCTAACCACTAGACGATCACGGCTCGATGGGAAATCTATAGGAAAACTCCCTACATAAACCACCTTGTTAGGCCGACCGAACAGCTGTTATACGATTTCTGTACGCGAGAAGAAATCATTTTTTGAAGGGAACCATTCAGAGACGTATTCATGTTTGATATTACCCTGTATAATATACTTTTCCCGCCTCAACAATAACCCTGGTTACTATAATTATGAATCAGATAAATTGTCATTCAAGAACAACACACAATCACAGCATAGCTGTTACACCCTGCTCTTTGATAAATAAAAAAAATGTCTGATCAAAAAATCCATTTACAACAGTCTATAATAATAGGTTAAAAAATTATTAATTTTTATTAAAAACGCAATATTTTAAATATACGCAGTCTGCTAAATAGATTACTACAAGGTTAGATTTGTTAATTGAATAATTTTTAGTGCGACTAGATAATTACTTATCCAGCGATCAGCTCTCATATATTTACAAGTTAGGCTCCAGCCTCCAAAACATTATTAGCCGTCTATTATACTTTTCAATAGAATTAAAAACACAGTAGATTGCAGCGCACTCTAATAATAAATTATATTTTAAATAAATTGTTGACAAAAAAAAAAACTATTTCTTTTATTTCTGTTCAAATTTATTTATGAATTGATGATGTTTTACAATACAAATGCGTTGGTGAGGGTCTTCTTGAACATCAAAAGAGCAATAAATGAATTCTATATTAATAAGTAGTAGGTAAACGATGATGTCAGGTGGGATTACTTATTATATCATTCGCTGAGAATCCGCTCATTTAGTTCAATAAAAAACGTGATTCCTTCTAATTGAATCAAGTAAAACTTGGTTAATATGCACAGTTGTTACAGTTTTTTTTTCGTACACACGATATCATTCAATTATTGCTTTACAATGATTAGGCACAGAATAAACTAAATTTAGGTACCATTTTTGAAAAGACAATGCGTGTCACGTTGTAAGAATTGGGTTTATTGGAGTGAACGACCAATTTTAAGCGAAACCGGAAAAAACCAACTAGTCAAATATAGGCAGCGTGCACTTGACAAAACAAATAAATCGTTGTACGGATTAAGATAACCCGAGTGTCGTTGATTAATACATATAAATTAAATTTATTATCCATGGATTGATATAGTCGGTAGCTTATACGATCGGCTGGGTTTAGTCAATGCAGACAAAAATACCATGAAATTATCATTAAAATGGTTCCTACAAAAAAAAACACTTTAGGATATGTACGCAAATATTAAATCAGTCATAAAATATTTGACCGTTGACCTCAGATAAGCATAACAAAATCATGTTTTTATCACAATATAAGAATCAAAACTAATGA